TTTCGTTCGACGTCACAAGGATACCCTGTTCGACTGGACAAGAGCTGCGTGTACCACCGTGTCAAAAGGCTGTCCAACTACATGGCAGGACGATGACTGAGGTAAGGAAGCTTTTATTCGTTTCGATTGGTCTGCTGTTCTGTCGTTATGCTTGAATTTGTTTCCATTTTCAAGGAGCGTATCGCGTTTGTTTGATGTTTCTTGAATGAATGCCCTAAAAGTAATCAACCACTTCGTAATAATCCTCAAGGACTGCAAGGACTTTGCATCAATCGTATACGATCGTCAGCTATCATCAATTATTATTTTATTTCATGAGAAATGTATTTTTATCCCTGTGATAATTATGTGAACTCCACGACACTCTTCCTCTACTAGGCTCTAGTATGATGTCAAATACAATGGGATCCACAAACGCAGTGCCAGTGTACTAGTAGTAGTAGGAGGAGGATTTATTGTATGCCGATGACAAGAAAAAGCTTCTCAAGCTAATACATGTACTCGTATTCCATGAAGTAACCGTTTTGATGTCACAAACATGACATTGTGTCAGTGAAACTGCCTCGTGACAACAAATCGTTGCATTTCCATCTTGGGGAAGACTGACTGACGGCAACGCTGTACAGATTGTTCAAATCATCTCATTTCAATTTAGTTAGTAGTGTTTCACTTCATGTATGGTGGTGTGTCTGTGCGTCTTGAGTGTGCACAAACGACCTTATTCCTCGTATTTCTAATAGATTATTGTCCCCACCGTCACCTGTTCACAGGTCTTTGCGTGGATGGATTTTCATTGAGCATCACATTCGTTGAGAACTTGGAAGTTGTGTGCTCCCATGCATCATTACGGTAATAAGCGTATCCTTGTGCTATCTATTTGTTGCAGGTGTGCTGATCTTCAGAAGCTTGCGGACCTGAGTGCTGCTGAACATTTGCATGGCCATGAGCAATGGTGAAGCTTGCTATCGCACTCTCAGCATGTGCTGGTATTATGCTGACTACTGCACTATGTTACTCTCTTACACTACTACATGTATGTAAACGTGCGTGCATCCGCCCACGTATGCATTCGTTTCGTATAATTATTTGTTATCCCTCTTGACTTTACGTGTAAATAGGTGGACGTTTGCATGGCTGTTGGAGTTGCGTGTGTATTGTGTCTCTACTCTTTTCTTGGTGTTTTCTTGGCGTTGTATAAGTTTGTGTGTGTGTGCGCGCACAATAATTCGAAAAAAAATCACGGTTCGCGTGAGACTCGGCTGGAAGCCGGGCTTTCCGCATTCCGTATAATTTGAAAACAAATAATTAATCCTTGGCTCTCCATTATTCTCTTTCAATTCTTGTTTTTTTTTCTAGGTATTTTCTTGGCGTTGTGTGGGTGTGTGCATGTGTGTGTGCGTGCACAATACTTTGGCAACACTACATGATTGAGATATTGTAATTTGCAGCGTCTGCGAAGAGACCACTTGATTTGAGGATGGTGTTTGTGGGGGTTTTCATGTAATGAAGTGGCTGCAGTGGCGCCTCAATACTTATTTTTTATCTTGAGAAGTGAATGATGTAAAGGATTAAAGGGAGAGGCCGTTTTCTGGTTAATATTCACTGCTTACAGCAGATCCTATGTCTAATTTCGAACTCTGGATAGGGGATGCCTAATTGGCTGGACTTTATACAGGGAGTGTTGTCCACATAAAGACTCTTTATAGTTGATTTCAAAGTTTGGACTCCGTACAGTTGATTTTGGACCAATGGACTCTATATAGGGTGAAGCCAATTGGCTGGACTCTATACAGGGAGTGATGTCCATCTAAACTTTGAGCTCACAGTTGATTCCAAGTTTGGACTCTGTACAGTGGATTTTGGACCAATGGACTCTATATAGGGGTTGGACATCATATAGGGGCTGGACGCTCTACTGAGTCCAACATACATGTTCAGTGTCACATGTATATACACTAGTTCTGGTAGACTGGTGTACGCTGCAATGGTCTATACAGTGAAGCCTCGTTAGGAAGAACACTGATAAGACAAATGTTTGCCTAAGTAGAACTAGTATTCGTAACTGTATTGGATAAAACCCTGTGTATTCACTGGGTAAAACATATGGATAAGAAGAACTCCCGTTATTGCGAACAAATATCGGTCCCTTGATGTTTGTCCTAAAGAGGTTTGACTGTGCTTACTTTCCTGACAGTAGTATGTGCACCATTCATTCACACAGTCGGTATCAATACGCTCGGACACTTCATCCTCATTAAGCTACCGATTTAAAAGGCATTGCTAGATCTCATGCACAGACCGGGCACATGTAGCTAATGCCAGGCAAATGGGTAAGCTCTTTGAGATGAAGTCCTATCGAAGTAGTGAATCTACTCCAGCTCACAAGAAGACATATGACGTAGTTTTCTCATCCACATTCAATCAGGGGCTAGTTGCTGTATGTTTGAGCATTCTGCGCAAGATACATTTGGACCTGGTATAAATCTGGCTTTTCATTGCTATCATATTCGGTTTCATTTTCTCTGTGTTGCGCTGACGATTCCACGAAGAATGAAGCAGTTTTGTCCACCGATTGAGTATATTGACCATCACCATGCTGCTGCTGTTCTGATGTTGTTTTGTGTTCCAGTGCCTCCGGAGATTGTGGTGGCGCCAGACCCTCTCTACGTGAGATCTGTAGACAGTGAATTCCGTCTGCTATGTGTTGCCAGCGGAAAGCCAGACCCGGTGACAATTTGGCTGTTCAACGACAGGCCAGTTGACCAGTCTCGTGTGCGCGTCAACAGCAACACGCTGACCGTGTCTCGTCTGTCTGTCGCCGACGAAGGCAGTTACACATGCCTGGCAAACAATGATGCTGGAACGGCTAACAGCACCACTGTTCTAATTGTGCAAGGTAACTTTCAGTAACAGACGGTTCTTTATAGAATGTAGTGTATGTGTGTGTGTGTGTTGTCCTTACTGGTTCACTGGGCAGTCTACAAACAGTGCTTGCCTTCACAACTATGGTATTCGTAGAAAGTTGTGTTGCTTGGCGTGTGCTTTCCGAAGCTTGATTTTGGATTTTGACGTTGCAATGGTGGTAAGACTTGTGCAGCACCCCCCCCCCCCCTCCCCCCTTGATGCAATTCTACCATTTTTGATTTTTCTGTTAAACCGTTATCTGTTAATGTAGACTGTATGGGTCTAGTGTGTGCACTATAAATACTATGAAATGAGTTGCTGTCGTCTTCGCCTTGACCCCACTGAGGGTGATGGTTTTTCTGCGGATGAGAAAAAGTCAGTCTGAATGACAGGTGTGGATGACCTTGACATCTGTGTGATTCCTTCCACAATTGTTTCCATGCTATATTTATTGCCTGTAGTTCCACCGGCTATTATCACGACCCAGACTCAAGTTATTGTTCTCCGTGGCACTCCTGCATTCTTGCCGTGCGAGGTCATTGGCAAGCCGACACCAACGGTGACGTGGCAGAGTAGTGTCTATGATGAACGCTACATGTCTCAGATTCCCACCAGAGGACTCCAGATATCAGCGGTAAGGTGTTACGTGAATGAACACACAAGCACAGGATAATGCTTATTACTAACTTTAACTCTGAGGTATAGCACCCTCTATCAGGCCCAGGCTGCAATGACATGAATTAAAAGTACTGGGTTAAAAAATTTCACGATTCGCGTGAAACTCGGCTGGAAGCTGAGTTTTCCGCATCCGTAGGAACGCCACCACCCTCTAGGATCAAGGCGCAGGCGCAGCTCCTAAGCGGTGGGAGGTGAGTAGATCAGATCCACCACAAATTGGTCAAAGACCGAAATCCCATTCACTGCATCACTGAGTTAACCTTCATTGGATATATAATTTTTTTAAGATCATTCTGTAGAAAATTTGCACCTAACGTTGCATTACACACCAACTGATGACGCTTGTCGTGTGTCTTCAGAGTGGGCAAAGTCCTATCAATGACTTTTTCTTTGCAAGCGCTGTGTGCTGTGTCAGTGTGTGGGATCCAAGGGCAGCACCCCATTGTGGAGAATGCTTGGAGTAATGGCAGTAAACTTTCCTTACCACAGCCCCATGTCACGAGTAAGATACAAGCATTTGGATTTCTTTATCATGACTCAGTAATTTCATACCTTGACTCAATTCTAAACACAGTTGGACTCCCTTAGTATGTACCGCGATAAGACACATACACATGCTTAGTACGGGCATTGTCCAGAGTGCAGAGGTCCGCTGTTGATCCCTACGCATGTATGTTGGTGTAAGATGTACCTAGGATTCCAAATACATGTTCCTGCTGAATTCTACTGCATGTGTTTGCCCTGCACCTCATTTTTATTAATATGTTGTATAACTGCATGTATTTGCCCTGCACCTCATTCTAAATATGTTGTATAACTGCACAGGCCCGGCTGGAGCACAGAGGACTGTATACCTGCACAGCTGCCAACCCAGCAGGTTCAGCATCACATACCATTGAGTTGGTTGTTGAAGGTAGGAGACACTAGCCATGTTCCATGCTAGTCAGTGTGTACAATGTTTGCTGATCTATGGTAGCAGATGAGCAACAGAGCATGTGCCACAACTCATCCTACTGTTCATGCGTGTTAACAACTTTGACTGTAACGTTACACAGCATGTTTGACACATGGCAGTTGTCATAGAGCATGCTGTCTTGGGCGGAAAAGTGCTTTGCTTATTGCACTGAAGGGTAGAATGTACTCACGGCTCGATTACGTTTGTTATTCCCCTCGAGTGTGCTAAGTTAAAGATAAGGGTGAGCGACTAAGCTTCAATAGGATTGTGTTCTACGCTGGTAATGTCATCCAGTCTTTCCGAACTGGTAGCTAAACCAGACAACCTTTTGTCCAATGGAAGCCATCTGTAAACAAGGAACAGATATAGATGAGATGCAGTATTTAGATTGGTTTGATATGCACTAAAGGTTACAGAAGGCGTATTTTCTCTCTTGCCAAAAATTCACCTGCATTGCTAAATATGCCTTTGCTATTGCCTGTGTTTCCCTGCAGCTCCACCGAGTATCGCGGGTCCAACAGAGATGGACATAGTGGTGTTCCCGGGCACATACATATGTATGGACTGCGAGGTGGTAGGACTGCCAATACCATCAGTGGTATGGCAGAGGAACTTGCGCCGTCTGCCGGTCATCGACGAAAAGTGGATCATACATCCCAACGGTGAGTTGTCCTCCTTTCAACTGAAGCAAGAATACATAATTGGCCATGGCTAGCTGGGTATCACCCTCATCTCTGGGGTTGCTCCCCATATTGGCGTTGCTTGCATAGGCTATGTGATTGATGGATAAAAAATGATAGCACCCTGCTTTTCATCCCAGCATCAGCCACACGTTCTTGGGCTTCAATGGACATACTGGCCTATCTGCGAGCAGCATGTTTCTGGACTCTAACCAGTGAATTGGATTTTCGGTCTTTGACCACTTTGTGGTGGGTCTGATCTCCTCAGCTCTCACTACTTTAGGAGCTGAACCTGCGCATTAATCCTTCAGGGTAGTGGTGTTCTTACGGATGCGGAAAATCTGGTCTGCCTGGGTCTCACCGGAACAGTATAAAAATCCTGTGAGTCAAGCTGAGCACCAAATGGTGAACATCAGACTGTTCTTGGTCTCAGCAAGAGTACATGAACCCCAAGTGTGTGCTATGGGGAACTTTACAGAACTTCACATCACATGACAAACCCGTACACATTGCTTGCACCCTGTGCATTATGGACACAGGGTTGTAAGAAACCCTGCTTTGGGTTCAACTCACTTGTGACCACTTTGCGCTATTCGCCATGTCACATGATGTGAAGGTCTGCCGTCGCAACACTGTATAGAGGTTGTGCAGACTGTTGCACACTCTTGGGAGTTATGTACTCTTGGTCTCACATACTTGGTGCAGCAGATCTATGTGGAGGATGTTCCTCTAGGCAGCCTGCAATAATCCGTCATTACAACAACTACACATCGAATTCACAACACAAGTACACTTATACTGTCCCTGGTTCGAGTCCTGGTGGTGACATCTACTTCTTTTTTTGACTTTTCCGTTTGCATCTTTCCCTCAAACCAATCAGAATGTTCTTGCTCTCTGTGTGTTTACGTGTGTGTGTGTGTGCTGTGTTAGATACACTGTGCGTAATCAGCACTGTCGTCGCCGACTCCGACATCTACGTGTGTCTGGCACGCAACAAACATGGAGACGCCCGCAAGGACTACAACTTGACTGTTCTTGGTAAGATCCTGTGGGAGTAGTGCCAGTAACGTTATGTGAATTACCAGGCAAAACAAAATGTTTGAATGGGTTATAGCAATAAATAGTATCAGCTTAGCACACATTCTATGCTCACGTCAAGGCAAGTTGTTGGGTGTATTCCAAGAACAATTTCTTATGATTGTCATCAGTTGGACTAGCATCGCATTGTTGATACAGGTGAGTTATGCTGATATTTCATCTCAGTTTGAGCTTAGTGTAACGCAAAATGTCATTACTGATGAACCATTGCACCTACACGACTCGAGCAGCACTATTCCGATATGGCTGTGGGAAATGTTTATATATTCAGTCATTACTGGTGTCTATTGATGCTACAGTGAGTGTTGCTGCTTCGTTTGCATTAAACTCGATGTAGAATTTCTTCAAGCAGTGATTTACAAGCACGGATCATGGGACAGCTCTTTTAAGGGCTGATTAGGTATATTGCACTGGCAATTATCCACTGTTTGCAAATCAAACAGTCACTTAGACTGTCTATGCTTTTGTCAGTTTGTAAAGTATGGTAAGCATACACTGTTCTCGCAAGGTTGTTCAACTAGAACTGTAGTATTGTTGTTGATTTGAATGTCTGTGATGTTTTTGCGGCTTGTATTGTTATTGGGCTTCAGAACCACCCCGTCCAGACGGTCCCCCTGTAGACGTCGTCACCGTCACAGCCAACTCACCCACGGTGCTGCCGTGCCCCGTCACTGGTAATCCTAAACCAGAAGTGAGTCACAATGACATTGTCCTGGACTATTATCAGATTACTTTTCTCAAACCAAACACTCACACCTGGTTACTGTGTTGAAAAAGTTGATTCAGGTCCACCAAATCATTGTTTTACAGTTTCATCCTGATTATGGCCCATGCCCGGCAATTTCGTAAGCCTGATATAACTCGAGGGGGTGGTTGGTAGGGGAGTTGGGGGGGGGGGGGGGGGGAAGGGGGGGGGGGAGGGGGAGGTGGGCATACACTCATTCATTCCGACTCACCCAACCCCTCACTATTCTCTAACTTTCTCACCCTCTTTCTCTGTCTCTCTACTTTTCCCTGCTCCACCTCACCTTGTCATGCACTTATAAGGTGAGGTGGTTCTATTTGGGAACCAACACCTTGGTGCCATTAGGTGGCCGTATTACGCAGAGCGGTGATAACTCTCTGGTCCTGGAGAGTGTTACGGCTGAAGACAGTCGTGGGTACCAGTGCGTTGCCAGTAACGAGGTTGGAACCACCACCATCAATGTCACACTGGATGTCAAAGGTGAGTACAGGTCCTCACTCATTATAATGAGTCCGGTTAGTACATAAACCCCGTTAGTAAATAGTCTGAAATCCCCTGGCGAAACGTGGTCTATACAACCGTTTACAGGTCCGGCTACAACATAATCCGTTAGTACATAAAATCCGTTATAACGACCCTTTGCCCAGGTCCCTGGAGTGCCAAACCCTCAGTATAAGATAATATTGATGATGCAGGACCAAGGCCGATACAGGTAGGATAAAGCAGAAAGTGGAAACGTATTATGTCTATGTATTCGTGAGGATGGACGATCCTTTGCATCCAAGGAAGAGTTATGTTGGAGTTTTTCAATTATCTTATAACGAGTTGAAGCATCGATAATTTATGTTGTATCGAGGGTAGCCCCGGTATGTAGAAAGTAGTGCCTATTTCACCTTTAGCTGCAAGTCCTGCTACATGATAAGTCTCGTTATAAGATAAATTTTTCGACGGCCCAGAGATTATCTACTTACGAGGGAGGACCTGTACCGCGGATTAGCTTGGCATCCACTCAGACTTCTGATGGATTGCTTGAGCTGGAAAACGGAAGTGTTTCTTGAATGTTTGCATTTGAAAAGAGCATGTCAGGTCTGTCCCACATTCACCTGTCATCAAAGTACTTTGACCTAACAATGTTCTACTTCGACAAAGAGTAGCATAAAGCTGAGTCTTCACCACTCCACCCCACCCCACCTTCCCCTACCGGAAATGTTCGATGTTTGATATTCATTGCGAAAATTTTCAGCATCTATATTTTACTCCGGGTCTTGGCAGGATTACATTGAAAATTTCACACCAATTGCAGACTAACAGCCCTGGGTAGTCATTCACATACTTTGCTGACAAGCCACCTTGCCTCGTATTTTTCTTCCTTTTTAGCGGTTTCCTTCCTATTGGTTCATCTCTGGTGTCTCTTCCATTCATTCTCCTATTTATGACTCTTTGTGACTCAACACTTAGCACTAGATGCCACCATGTTGTCTGATTACAGTTTGGGCCATTTCTATCCTGTTGAATTCCAGTTGCTCCGGTTATCGAGCCGTTCGCGTACACCGAGGTTGTTGCCAATGTCAGTCAAATACGTGTTTTGCTGCCCTGCATTGCCCGTGCCAATCCACCTGCAACCATAACCTGGCTCAAGGACTTTCAGCCTGTCACTCCAGAGTTCCTCCGGTGAGTCAGTTTGCAAGTGTGTTCTAATGAAGCATAGCTTGCATGCCCCAGGTACTGGCATACATCATGTCATTATATGTTTTGTGTGTGTGTGTGTGTGTGCGTGCGTGCGTGCCTGATTGTATTGGGTCTGTTGCCAACGGGCTCGGCTACTTGAAGGTGTAATGTTGTACCTGCCACCTTTGTTGGTTCCAGGGTTCATATACTTTCTATTTGAAGTATACATACCTGTTAACCATGGACTGCTTCTGGCTAGATTAACTTTTGTGTAATCAATGGTGCTAGTGAGGCTTATATCAGATCCACTCTGATTTAGCCACCCACACTAGTAGCAAGTATTACCTTCACTGGGGGCAGGGGTAACTGCAGTTGGATCCCGGGACGGATACCCTGATGCCGTCAATCCTTTTTCTGCACCGTGTCCTCACCCACTTACTGAGGTGTGGTGAGCCCATTAGTGGGATCATTTTCAAGTCCACCCAGAGTTTTGGGGATTTCAGGGGGTGTCGGCCGTTGGGCGGTTCAATAGCCAATTGAGTCATCTTTCCAAGATTCCTTTTGAGTCTCTCTCCCCTCTCCCGGGGAGACCCACGTGACCAGTTTTGGCAGTGAGCAACAAGTACAAGTACAAGTACAAGCGTGCGTGTGTGTGCTACTGCGCATGCATGTCTGTGTGTCTATAGTTGTGTTACTGTTGTTGATGGTTTTGTTGAGGCTGTTGGTTGTGGTGGTGGTGGTGGTGGTGGTGGTGGTGGTGAGCATTCATGTGCACATCTGTGCATGCATGCTTTTGCTTGCATGCATGCACAGATGTGTGTGGAAGGGGTGGGGGGGGGGGGGGGGTGGGTGCAAGAAAGCATGCACATAACTTGATCATGGTTTTAATGTAAAATATGCATAATTAGCATCTTCTCTGTGCTTCCTGTGTGGTGTGATGTGTAATGATTTAGATACCTAATCAGTACAGATGGCACACTGATTGTCACAAGCATCCAAGCTAATGATGCTGGCTTCTACACCTGCGAGGCGTCGAATGAAGTCGGGACGGCAACACTCAGTCTCAGGGTTATTGTTCAAGGTGAGTGCGTGCTAAGTTTTTTTTAGCCCCATCCCTCACACAAACAAGTCAACAAAGAGGCATCTTTGGATTAAAGAGTGCTGGTTTCGAAACAACTGGTTTGAAGCTCAAAGTAGAGCTGGTGTTAGCTCAGAGCAGAGCTGGTGTTAGCTCAGAGCAGAGCTGCTGTTAGCTCAGAGCAGAGCTGCTGTTAGCTCAAAGTAGAGCTGCTGTTAGCTCAAAGTAGAGCTGCGGTTAGCTCAAAGTAGAGCTGCTGTTAGCTCAAAGTAGAGCTGCTGTTAGCTCAAAGTAGAGCTGCGATTAGCTCAAAGTAGAGCTGCTGTTAGCTCAAAGTAGAGCTGCTGTTAGCTCAAGGTAGAGCTGCTGTTAGCTCAAAGTAGAGCTGCTGTTAGCTCAAAGTAGAGCTGCGGTTTGCTCAAAGTAGAGCTGCTGTTAGCTCAAAGTAGAGCTGCGGTTAGCTCAAAGTAGAACTGCTGTTAGTTCAAAGTAGAGCTGCTGTTAGCTCAACGTAGAGCTGCAATGCTAAATGGATGTAATATAGCGCAAGGCAGAGCCGCAGCAAATAGCTAGATAACACCAGTTGTGAGAGTGGACCCGATTAGTGGGTACGATAATTGTGATGGTGTGAATAAGTTGGATAGGGAGGGATGGTGGGAAAAGAAACACTGCTGAAGCACGATTGGTTGTCTGGGAGAGCACAACAGGGCAAGCAAGATTTGTTTTTCTTTTCCGCAAAATGGGCTGGTGCCATTTGTGATTACGCAGCAAAACAAAGCGCATGACGTCAGTCTTGAATGCAGTACAAAGCAATGCAGTGCAGTGTGTGCGCTAGTTCGGATTGTTGCTAACAAGTACTAGCACAGCTAGTACACCACCATCACAAGCTACACTTGGTACTGTCTGGCTGGTCAGCTGGAGAATTGACTTGCACAAGTTGAGGTTGTACTATGGCTGTATGAAGGGCTACATACAGGAATGAATGATCACAGACATGTTTTTTCAGTTGCTCATAAAATGGGAGATGTCGTTTTTCCTGTTGACGTGATGCCGGTCAAACTTTACAACCGATCTCTGCTGAATTTGCCATGCCTGTGCATGGAGATAACTATGCTGTAGTGCTCTGTGGTCACAATGTTCATTAGTCTGCTCAAGCTCAAGTGATGCGGTGCCAGTATTCCCTCAAAACAGTTCTGTTGAACATTCTTCTCTCTCTTTCTCCCTCTCTCTCTCTCTCTCTCTCTCTCTCTCTCTCTCTCTCTCTCTCTCTCTATTTCTCTCTCTCTCTCTCTCTCTCTCTCTCTCTATTTCTCTCTCTCTCTCTCTCTCTCTCTCTCTCTCTCTCTCTCTCTCTCTCTCTCTCTCTGCGTCTTTCTGTGTCTCTTTCTGTGTGTTTTCTTCCTCAGTACCACCGGTCATTACCCAGTCCCCACAAAACCAGGCCATCATTGTCGGCAGCAATGTGGCATTCCAGTGCAAAGCCACTGGCCTGCCCAGCCCTGTGATATCCTGGCACACTCGCGGTCAGCCTCTTGGTATGCTCTTGCTGGGCCTCCTCTGGCAGGTTTTGCCGATCTCTTAGTTTTTTTACTGGATGCAACAGTATTGTTATCTGTTTCTGTTCACCTTGCATTTGTCGGTACGCGATTGTTTACTTGCAGCTGCATTATGCACGTGGTATCTCTCCTTCTTGTATATGAAAGCCCAGTCCCTCTCCATCTCTCTCAAACAAGAGAAACAAAGATTCTGATCTGACCCCTTAAAACATTATACCTGACTATGGTGTCCAATGGAATGTATTGTGTGTGTGCTACTGGCCAGACATTGAGGGCGAGTTCTTGGCATTGGACAGCGTGCAGCCACGCCGAGACAGAGGCAACTACACGTGTCAGGCCAGCAACATACTGGGAACAGTACAAGCAACAGCATCACTGGATGTGCTAGGTGAGAACATGGAGCCATTATAACAGTACCCGTATAGGGATTTTCTGTATCATCAAAATCCTGTAAGAAGTACTGTTCGGCTCCTTTCTCTGGACCCAGGTGTTTGCAGACATTGAAGTATCGTGCTTCTTACATAATTATGTACATGGAATACATGAAATATGAATATGCTCGGCATTAACTGAGCAAGCATTGGGTTTGTTTTCTTGGCACCAATTTTTCAATGATGAAGTTGATTTAGGAATGTGTGCAGGCTGGATAAGATCTTCATTGAGCAGCTCAGCCACAGGTGTTCCTTATAATGATGGATGATATTACGAATTCCTGCAGGATTGAGCGAAAGTTTGTTTCATTCTGCATGTATCCTTTTCTTGAACAGTTCCACCTGAAATTGTTGGTTTTGGCGATGTGAAAGTCGAGGAGCCAGTCGCAGGAGAAGGGATTCTACTGCCATGCCCAGCCTCTGGCAATCCTCCACCGACAATCTTCTGGATGCGCGACAATGAGATCATAACCGCCACGTCCCAGCGTTACCGCATCTTCCCGAATGGCTCTCTGTGGATACCTACCCTGGAGGGGGCTGACCGCGGTGTTTACGTCTGTCGCATTAACAGCTCTGTTGGAGTGGACGAGCTAAGATACGACCTGAATGTAAAAGGTGAGAGATACTTCACAGTGTTCATAACTTTGAAATAACGGTCAAATCATCAGACTGAAAGTTTTTAAAACACATGTTTTATAAAGATCTTCCCCAATTTGTCACTGGTTATAATCTTCCCTATATGTTCAGCATTCATTACTGACTTGGCCGGTGTCTGCATATTGATTGTGCAGAGCAAGTGACTTTTTCGCGTGTAGAACATAATTTCTGGTGAATTTTATATCTTGAAATAAATAGTAGATCTGAAACGCTTTGTGCTGTGTATTATGAAGTCTAGCAAGGGCCTACAGTCTCAACCGACCCCCAATCACAGTGAAATTCCCACTTTTTCCAATCTTCCACTACTGTGCTGTAGTACATCCTGAGTTCACCAGCCAACCTAAAAACACCACAACGCGGGTTGGGAGCACTGTGTGGATGCATTGCAGTGCTTCCGGTAGCCCAGTAGCCACCGTCACTTGGCTCAAGGACGGACAACGGCTGCAGGTGGAAAGCGTTGCCAGGCTGAGACAAGCCAACAATGGCAGCTTGCAGGTAAACCTTGCCCTTGTCGATGTGTCCTGGTCACATTAACTGCCAAGTGCCACACCATCGTCTTTCATTTTGATATCCTGAATCAAGATCTAGTTTCAAGTACTTGAATGCTGCCAACTTCTTGGACCACATTGTGCTGGATATCCATTATCAATGTTCGATGTTATGAACCTAGACACGGCATAATTCTTCTGATGATTGTGGTCGATATGTTGGATTTTGTTTGTCAGTTATATTGGTAGAACAAGAGATAAGTTGTTTTAGCTTCTATGTTCTGCACTTGTGGGCTTTTTCTGGTATGGTCTCCATGAGATAAAGTTCAATTCTTCCCTTATTTTGTGCCCCAAAACGAAAATTGTGATGCAGGAAATTTTATAACTACCGGTATATGTGCGATTGTGCTGTCCTGTGCTGTGCTTTCCCTGGCTGGTAGATAATCAATGTCCTAGCCAGTGACCAGGGAAAATATACTTGCCTTGTGGGAAATGAACTGGGCATCTTGACTGGTGATGGACATTTGACTGTGCAAGGTAAGTGTGTGACTGTGTGTGCCTGTGTCTTGTGGTTGTGCCTGAGTAAGTGTGTGCACTATAATATGCGCATGGCTGTATGCATGCACGTATGCGTTTGTGTGTTTTTGTGCGTGTATGTGTGTGGATGGAGAGTCATCTTAGAGAGAAAGTGTGCATTCATTGAATCGTTAGAGCACTAAGACAGAGCATACACTTCAGATTCTTCCTCAAAAACATTTTCAAACATCAGAGGAAACCTGTTACGTCATTGGATTATTGCTCTTACTCTCGGTCTTTCGTAATTATCCTCTTCTTTGCCTTGTTCTCACTACCCTTCAGTACGTCCGAACATTACACCACCTGTTGGATCTGACCAGAATCCTACCACCCAACAGGGTGATGCGATAATGCTGAACTGTCCCTCGGAGGGGAACCCCCCTCCCATCATCGAGTGGGAACGGGATGGTGTACAGTTGGTGGAGGATCCTGAACGGCACGTGATGTATTCCAATGGCTCTTTGTTGCTGCGATTCCCGAAGGGAGAGGATAGCGGACGATACACATGCAAGGCTCTGAATCAGCTGGGAGAGGATGAGATCTCTTTCATCCTCAATGTGAATGGTAATAAAGTTTTTTATTGAGGCGTGCATACTACTTGTGTAGATTGAATCATACTTTTTACGTTAGAATATAACTGCTAACTCAGTTAGTAGATGATGAATCCCGTAATGTCAGTGGGTGAGTCTCGGCTTTGTCATAGTGGGTTAGGTTTTCACTACGCGTTTCTCGACATACCTCGCACACCACGCACAGGGAACTTAGAAGTAATGTGACAAGTGTTTCAGAGAGGAGGATTGATAAAAGTAAACGCGGGAATGCAGCAAAGCCTCTGAATCTGCAACTGTCTATTTTCAAACATATATTTTCATTGGTCTCCCTGGGTGTGTGCGATGCGCGCGCGCGCGTGTGTGTGTGCGTGTGTGTGTGTGTGTGCCAGCAAGTTCGGTTGGTGGGTACACGCATGCCTGATTGTGTTTGGTCTGTTGCCAACGGGCTCGGCTGCTTGAAGGTGTAATGTTGTACCTGCAACCTTTGTTGGTTCCAGGGTTTATTTACTTTCTATTTGAAGTATACATACCTGTTAACCATGAACTGCTTCTGGCTAGATTAACTCTTGTGTAATCAATGGTGCTAGTGAAGCTTATATCAGATACACGCTGATTTAGCCACCCACACTAGTACCAAGTATTACCTTCACTGGGGGCAGGGGTAACTGCAGTTGGATCCCAGGACGGACACCCTGATGCCGTCAATTCTTTTTCTGCACCTTGTCCTCACCCACTTACTGAGGTGTGGTGAGCCCGTAGGTGGGATCACTTTCAAGTACACCCAGAGTTTTGGGGATTTCAGGGAGTGTCGGCCATTGGGCGGTTCAATAACCAATTGAGTCATCTTACCCGTCAATTCTTTTTCTGCACCTTGTCTTCACCCACTTACTGAGGTGTGGTGAGCCCGTAAGTGGGATCACTTTCAAGTACACCCAGAGTTTTGGGGATTTCAGGGGGTGTCGGCCGTTGGGCGGTTCAATCGCCAATTGAGTCATCTTACCAAGATTCCTTTTTGAGTCCCTCTCCCGGGGAGACCCACGTGACCAGTTTTGGCAGTGAGCAACAAGTGTGTGTATGCATGTGTATGTACATGTGTGTGTGTATGTGTGTGTGCATGTGTGTGTGTGTGTGTGCATGTGTGTGTGTGTTTGTGTGCATGTGTGTGTGTGTGCATGTGTGTGTGTGCATGTGTGTGTGCATGTGTGTGTGTGCATGTGTGCGTTTATGTGTACGGATGTGTACATGTTTGTGTGTGTGGTGTATATCCAAATACAGTAAAACCAGTGTTCACAATGTGCCCGGTGGTGGCTGTCGTACCGCAAGGCCGCAGCACTAGATTCGACTGTGTAGCCACCGGCCGGCCCCAGCCAGTCATCTACTGGACATCAAGTGCTGGCATTGACTCGCGCTCCAACTTCAATGACCCGCACTTTGTCCAGCTGCAGAACAACAGTTTACTGGTGCAGGCACTGCGTCCATCGCACGCAGCCACCTACACTTGCCATGCAGTCAACGTTGTTGGACAGGACAATTGCAGTGCTAGTTTGACTGTAGAAGGTAAGATACACGATGGCTTTAGCACTCCCAAGTTACCCTCACAGAATGATAGGACAGCGTATGCACTGACCAAAGTCCATGCACTTGTCGCGGAAATTGAAATGAGGCTCAGGGTTTTCAGAGAACCACCAGATTTCATTTTAAATGACTGTTGCCGAAGCAGCGAACATATTTTCAAATGAAAGAGCATGATTGTGTCATTCGTGCCGGGCATTTCTCCTACGGTACTCTAAAAATCCGTGATATTCCCTGGCAGTAAGAAATAGCACAACTAGGAAGATTGATAAGACATTGCTATTCGGCAACTGAGGAGGAAGAGCTTCGGAGAGATAAAGAGTGAACATGAAACATTCTACCTCTGTGCACTAGCCACCATGCCCTGGACACTGCTCAGTTCATGCCACGCTCTAAATATATATGTGTGTACGACAAGTCACATGTCACTAGTCACCAGTCCATGCTTGGTTCATACAGCGCTACTAGTTTTCTTCTTCTTCTTTTTTTTGGTGTGTTTTATGTCCCCATGACGCCGAGACCTCAGGTCGGCTGAGGGCAAAAAGCCTCACCACCCCTATTCTCCCATATTCAATTTTTGTCTTTGCCTGTGAGCTGTGAATATTGTAGAAATAAAATTAAAAGTCATATGTTCCTTTGTGTCTCTACTGCTTGCAGTACCACCAGTGATTGATGCCCCGCCAAGTCCAGTAGCCACCATTGATGAGAACAGTCCCATAACCTTGCCGTGTCCAGTGCGAGGTCTACCACCTCCCACGGTCACTTGGTATAAGAACGGTCAGCCGCTTGTGGCGGACGGTGTTCGTATTTCCATCCTAAACAATGGCCAGCAGCTGAGGATTTCCAGCGCGCAGGGAGATGACACGGCTAACTACGAGTGCCGAGCAAAGAACAAGCTTGGAGAAGTTGCTCAGTCATTCCAGATAGCAATCCAAGGTAAATATACTCAGTCGTTGCACCCTGTACCTAAAAAATTAAAAATTAAAAAAATCCGACGGGTTTGCGTACCGGGCAGGTCAAGAACCAGGAGTCGTGCAACTCCCTGGTCAAGAATCACCTTTCCGCTTCCGTGGGACGCCACCACCCCATGATCAGGCATCAGATGCGGCTCCTAAACGGTGGGGGAGGATAGATCAGATCCACCACCCTGTGCATAGCTGAATGTTACTTTTCAGCATTTCTCTACTTTGCAAGTAAGATGAACATGCAGAGAAACAGGATTTTCGCTTGAGAATTCACAAACATAATGCTTGCGTTCATTATTGTCATACCGCTTTGTGAAGAATACTATTAACTATGATGGTTATGATTACGTACAGGTGTGTGTGTGTGTGTGTGATGTTCTGTTAGATCAGTGACATCACAATCCCAAGACTGCTGTAACCATTGATTTCTAGACACTGTGTGAGATTAATTGGATCAGTTGAGGTGTAATGTGTGCCGTTTCTACAATGTTTCTCCACCTGGCATATTCCTTACAGTGGCACCTACCATCAACTTGGTACCTCAGGACCAGACCGTGCAGGAGGGTCAGACGGCAGTGTTCCACTGTGGAGCTAGCGGGAGACCACGGCCACGCTTGCAGTGGTTCAAGGCGGTGCAGACCGGTGATTTGTTCCCGGTACTGCGCACTGCTCACATCCAGCTGCTCAGGAATGGCTCGCTGGTGATCCGCGACACACAGCCGTCACATGCAGGTGTCTTCGTTTGCGCTGCTGCTAATGTACTTGGAGAAGACCGGCAGTCGGCATTGCTGAATGTACAAGGTACGTTACTCCTACAGATGGCTCATCACTTGCAGACGTGGCTGTTCTTTTCGACTCTCTCGTACACACCACAACAACAACAATAGAACTGCAGGGTCGCAGCAACAGCTGCTCCAATTCTTGCACCGCATGTGTATTAATATTACTATGCCACAGGCACACAGCATTTAAACATAATCATGGCAGCCTGGTACACATCACTTTAGCATAACAAAAGGAAAACAACGCAAGACAGCAAGCGATCCAAGCCATGGGACAATGGATACATGAACTTCCGATCGAAATGCGTTCACCACGGCCTAGTGCACTGATTAATGGGAATTGCCGCCAGCGACAATGGTGGAGATGCTGAATAACCCCAAATGGGCCAGTCTAAAAAAAAAAAATAAAAAAAAAAGCCAATGTGCTACCTTAATACAGAATTATCTGAAATTGGCCCACACACGGAAACATGCTCGCCACATACACGCACTACTGCTTACTCAGCCAATAAATCCATATGCACATACATATCTAGCAATGGCTATCCAATTGGGTGGGCGGGTGGGATTCGCAACTGTACAGCAGCAGTGCAAGAACAAAAAGAACACTGTCTTCAGACCAGCATGCACCTTCATGTGCATGCTGCAACTCCGCACTGTGCAGCCAGTGCGTACCACACTCCCAGCACAGTCCGTGAACTCTGGACTGTGCACTCGCGTTTCGAAAAGAACAGCATTTCTTGTTTACTTCGTTGCTCTCATCCAACAAGAAATGAGACATTTTCTAGTCTGATGGCCTGGGAATCTAAGACTAAATCGGGAAGGGTTGAAAAAGACCTCTAAGTAATGTGATTCGTTACAGGGAAGTTTTTTAATGAGCTGGCATATGAATCGGGTGCACAATTTCCACATCCTATCAAGTACTTGCAAGTACAAATTAGGGACTCAGGAGCAACTAAATTACCGATCGCTGGCAATCAACTGAAGACACAAAGAATTATCATCGTTGTGCAGTCGTGAAGGGCACTGGTTTATCCACCACTATCTTCTGGTAGGTTTGCTGCACAGCCGCTTCTCGGATAGATAGTGAAACGAGGCTAGACTCCAGTTGATGAACCAATGGCAATGAAAACCTAGGGAGGCACACACAAGGCGTATTGCTCCAATGTACTAGCAAAGAGGGAACTATAGCACATGGAATAGTCCTAAACTTCAGTTAAACTTCAAGTGGACTCCAACCTGTTTCGGAGGTGCCTCTGTGACACCATTTGATACGAAAAATTGGGAAACTTGGCGGCAACAGACTGGCACAAATCTCCCACTTGCTCATCACGAGTGACTTGTCCGCTTTCTGACACAAACTTATCGTGAGTGAATGATGCATGCTAACAAGGGAAGGACACTGGTGAGACTCAAAACTGACTGAGGAAGCCAGGAAAGTAAACAGAGATAAGGAACACACCAGATGCCGTTTTTGCAACTGAAAACTGTTGCGCGAGAAATCATTTCTTCAAAGGCTCACAAACTCACAAATTACTGCATGTTTTAAAAGGCAAGAAAATGCAGCCAGTGCTAACCTTTGCTATGTTCTCAGCTCACTTGCTAGGATTGCCATGAGATCTTTCATTTTCTGACCTCTTTACCTGCCTGTGAGACAGTTCTCCCGAATATACCCGAGCTTGATGAACCACGGCCTGAAGTTGATGCTGGTGGCATCCTGACACTGCCATGCCCTGCTGAAGGCAACCCACCACCGCAGATAAGGTTTGTGGCCAACCAATATACTATGATGGCGGGGCATTTCAAATCATGACTTTTACTGTTTTACAGTTGACTCATAAACTCCATGCAGGTTGCTGGTAGCAAGTTGAGGAGCAACGGTTGCATGCATGTTTGGGCGGATGATCTCTCTGGCGATGGTATTGTTTTGATTTTGAACAGTGATTAGGTCAGTGAAACTGGTGGACTCACAACTCTAGCTAGAGAAGTACATTAGTCAATGAGAGGAGCACTCCTCTGGCCGTTGAAATTAGCCAGAATTTGAAAAGCATTTGAACAGAAGGCTACACAGGCCATATGCTGTATTCAACCATCAGTTCTTGCACACATCAGTTCTTGCACACATCAGTTCTTGCACACATCAGTTCTTGCACAGATCAGTTCTTGCACACATCAGTTCTTGCACACATCAGTTCTTGCACACATCAGTTCTTGCACACATCAGTTCTTGCACACATCAGTTCTTGCACACATCAGTCCTTGCACACATCAGTCCTTGCACACATCAGTTCTTGCACACATCAGTTCTTGCACACGTCAGTTCTTGCACACGTCAGTTCTTGCACACGTCAGTTCTTGCACACATCACGAAAATGGCAAAGCAATTCTATGTTGCTACTAAAGTAGTAGCGGTTGTTGTGGCAAGTGGAATCCAACTTGATGCATAGAAGCCTCACTCAATGCACTGCCCAATGTCATTGCCAATGTTGATAACAGTAGGAGGTCCACACAGCACTAGGTGTGTTATATTCATGAGGCCACACTTAAATTTCTTACGCTTACAATGCTGAAGTACTTCGAGTTTTGGCAACGCTATGGAGCACTATTTGCATAATTTTTGTTGGTTTCCTCTTTTCAGGTGGCTGAAGGATGGAGCACTTGTTACGTTCAGTAATAGAATACAACAAGCTCCATCCGGTGCTCTGGTTATCCTAGATGCACGACCATCTGATGATGGGGACTACCAATGCGTGGCCTCTAACCCAGTCGGTGACGTCACGCTGGATGTTCCGGTCACTATTAGAGGTAAGTGAGACAGTTGTGTCATGATGATGTTTTCATCATCCTGGGTGTACAGAAAAGTGGGTATTCGGCCGTTGGAAAGTTGGAACGACTCAAGACATCTCAATTTGCTCCCCTTTGTCTGCTAGGCAGATGTTGCAGCAAGTCAATCTGGTAGACCACGTATTTTACAGACATATATGCACAGCACACAGATGTGTGTACTTCAGTACAACAGGAAAATGGGCTTAGTTCCTTTAGTATTATGGCCATTGTGATCATTGTGTCTATGTTATCTAGATGTCTCAAACAAAGCACTTTGTATATGCATCAGGGATGAATTTACTGTCATTTTTTTGCATAGCAGTTTTCGCGACGCAAACGCCAAAATGCGTAGCAGTCCTTGATTTTTGATTAGCACTTTTTCTTCCACGAAGACCGACTAAAATTTCTCAGTCCACGGAGGGAGTACTCGTGCTGTCTGCATAGCTGGCAGAAAATTAGCGTCACCGCTGCACCTGTAGCTTTCTCAGAACCAAGCCATTTCTTCTGGACATCGACCTCTGCCACCCACTTCTCAAAGGTACTCTGTCGTACAGACATGTTGGAGGCAGAACCAGACTAGACAAAAACTACAGCTTGGACAATTGTCAGAGAGAAGGACGAACGTGATTCCAAAAGTTCCTCACGACCAGAAAGACCGACTGGCTGCAAGCAGAAAGCTATAATATCACGAAAAGAGGTAAGTGAACCAGAAAGAAGAAAACAAACAACAAGACCTCCGCCGGGATCGTGGAGGAAAGATGATGCTTGTCAGTACGGAAAGTACATGTACATGAACTTACTGAATGAAAGCCGCACAAAGTGGTACGTGTACAGTGCATTTCAAAACTGTAGACGCGCAGGGTTTTTGAGATATTTCAAATTTGGCTGGAACTTTTTGAGAATAGTTTTCGGAATATTGCTCAGGATCGCTCCACAATTACTCTCATATAGTTTCTAAAGGATTGGATAACAGACGCCCATTTTGGAAAAATTTATGCACAAAGTGATCACAGATTTTATGTGGTATAGATCTGTCCCTGCGGGAATTTGCGGAAAAAACTCTCGAAAACTTGCGCAAGAAATTGCGGCAGAAAACAACAAAAAATGCGACGGAAAGTGCGGAATGATGCAGAACTTGCCAGGAATTCGCGGAATTATGTGCAGAAAATTGCGGATTTGGGCCAAATCACGAAATTATTTGTTGCATAGCATATCTACTCCGGAGTACGAGTCGTAGTACTGTGCAAATAACCTACAGGATCATGGAAAGCACTGTGTGAAAAGTGCATGAAACATGTGAGATATAGTGCAGAAAACAACAAAAAACGCGGGAAATCGCGGATTTTGCTGAAAATCGCGGGTTTGGGCCAAAATCGCGAAATTTGTTGCATCCGTGGAATCGCGATTTCCTGGAGGGACAGATAGATGCTGGCATAACGGTTTTTGCCTAGGTACGCGTCTATAGTTTTGAAATGGACTGTAGTTCAAGTAGGACACCAGTACATGCAGTCGGTATGTGCACGCGGAGCCAGCCACAGTTCACAGGTACATGTACTAGAAATCACACCTTCCCGAGAAAAAAGCGGGGTCCGTGCACTGTACAGGTGTAGTGAGTGTACGACATAGTCACAGCATCACTTTTACTGACTGCGCGAGCTAGTATGCAGTGCCGTTTATGCATCGCAGTTTCCTGCGAGTCCCTGTGATTTTTGAGTCGCACTCGATCGATTTTGAATCGCAAACTGCGATGCGATACTGGATAAATTCATCCCTGTGCATGGATTGCAGTTCAAAGATAGCCAGTGAAGCTCCTCTATAGCTCACGGCATGCAATTAGCTGTGCATGTTGTTCATAGATCGAGACGTACAGGGCTGAAATGAGACTAGAACCCATGGCCTATTCATTCAATGTGTGCTTCACTCATACTTGCAACTTTCTGATCTGATCCCTAGTCTCGCCCAGCTTTACCCAACTTCCTCAGAACACAACGGCTGAAGTGGGAAAACCAACGTGGCTCCACTGCGTGGCTGGCGGCAATCCTGCTCCGGAGGTATCGTGGCTACGGAACGGCAGTCCACTGCAGGCCGATAGTCACCTGCGATTGTACAGCAATAACACACTGTACATCCCGTTCGTCGAGATCAATGATGATGCATCGTACACGTGCGTGACCAAGAACGACCTGGGGGAGACCAGACATACTATTCACTTAAACGTGGAGCGTAAGTGGAAGCAAAAATTAATGTAACTTAGTACAGATCATTTCGTGATGTGCAAGTAGGGGGGGTTCTGGTCATTTCTTATTTCTTATGTTGGAATCTTTAGCCAAAGGCTGTGAATGTGATAATGTCACTCAATACAGTATTGACGTATTGCTGTTTGTTGTATGCTGCTGGTTGCTACCAGGTGAGCCCACCATTGCTCCCCCTGGTGCTGCTCCCACCGCCGTGTTTGTTGGTAACACGACCACACTGGTTTGTGAGTTCAACGCCAACCCACCACCACAGGTGAGCTTCTACTCAATGTTGTGGCAATCTTTTGATGCTGTTTAGCCGTAGGTTTGACAATTTCAAGTACTAGTACATGTACACAGTGGGATGTTTTGCCACAAATGTCACTGATGAATTTCCGTGTAGCGGCAGTGTTCAGTTTAAAATTCAGAATTTTTCCCCACTGGATATGAGGCTCCAAGTAACGAAAAAGACACTTGCACAAGTTGCAGTGTCAGAGTTGGCTGAACACACTATGTAGGCGAAGGAACATGTCGGAGTGTTTACCAGCATGGTCTCCAGCATTGCATTACCTCTGCTCTTGTCTCTTGTCTTTAACAAAATATTCTGCTCTACAATTTGTTTCCTAGGTTTACTGGGTGTATAATGGTCGTATTCTCTTCACCACCGGCCGATACAACGTTACCACTATTGGCAATGTGCACACCTTGCAAATAGCCGGAGCAGCTCAGGAAGATGCAGGAAACTACACGTGCCGTGTGCGTAACCGGCTCGGAGAGACCGAACGGATATTTGTGCTGAACGTCAACAGTAAGTTGCAGCTTTTTACACCATGCAGCACCCCGCATATCTGTTAAGGCTGTCCATGGCCGTCATACATTACTCATATTCCACTATATATTTAACATTTTCCACAGGTGATTTTAGGTTTTCACAAATTGGAGGAAGTTAAAACAGAAATAGTGATGTGATGTTAAAGTCATGTTTCTTCTGATTGGTCTGAATTATCCCAACTTCACACTCCAGTTTTCCCTCCCCAGTGGAGAGAGAGAGAGAGCCTGCTGAAAATGTACCACGATATGTGAAATCAACTTCCTTTTTTTGTTTTCTCACCCCGTACAGCCCCATCAGATATTCTCCAGCCTGAAGACACATCTGTGGACGTAGCTGTGGGTCAGCCTCTCATTCTCAGCTGTGTAGTCAGTGGATTTCCACCGCCAGAGATTGCTTGGCTGAAGGATGGAAGGTAAACTGTTTTCACTATTCTTTACAATGTCACTTTGGCCCGACAATATTTATGCTATTTTGTTATGAACAAAACGATGTGTATCATGCCATTTGTAGAAAGCATGTGTAGAGCGAGCCTGTAGTCGAACATAAACGGAGACTAGTTTCAGCAAACAATGTGTTTGCGAATAGGGTGCATGAATGTATTCAAGCATAGCCACAGCGCAACGTAGGGCTTTACAGCCAATAGTTAGTTCTCTTGTCTTCAGTATGTCCATATTCTGCAGGTGATGTTTTTGTTTTCTTCCTCCAGTCCCATCGTCCCCAGTGATCGTCTGACAATCAAATCTGATAACAGCTTAGAGCTGTCATCCCTTGAGGCTGGCGATTCTGCCCAGTATACATGCGTAGCTACCAATGACATCAATGCTGATGTGCTGGTCTACGATCTCAGAGTGCTGGGTAAGATCAACCAAATGTCAAGAATTGTTAATTGTATACAGAAGAAGCCGGCGTCACCCCTGGGCGATTGGTTTTCATGCTCAATTGACCAACACTAGGCTGACTCACCCAACTTTCCAAATACACAGTGTTTCGGGTTCAACTGATTGATCCCCCGAAACAGTCTGTATTGAGCATGGAATGGTGCTTTTTGCTCCACATAATTATACTGGCATGCATAGACACGGTGACTTCATGTGCACCAACTAATGACATGGCGTCCTTTCATGCGGTTTACCGCACGGATTTATGAAGTCGGACATATTCCGATTTATTTGCATCAATCGCACAAAATTAGGTACATTTCTCTTGTAAACCCTGTCAGTTTGAGAATTTAGACAAACACCGAACAAATTTTAGCCGCGACGAGGATCGGGAGGAATCCATCATAATTATTTTACATAGCTACTAGTACTACCATCACGTCGACCGAGTGAAGATCGAAATGATAATGGAGTGGAGAGAAGAAGACCTGAACTAGAGTGCTTGAGAGACTATGTAGTGTCACATGAGAATTGCTTCGTTAGGAAGGCTCTCCTTTTGAATGGAGAAGCCCAACGTCGCTGATTTGCATCGCCGTTTTCAAGCGCTGATCTGCAGTAGGAATGTTTCTGTAAATTATTCGTAGTTGTGGACGTGGATGGATTCAGCGCTCTGTTCTCTCAGCAAGCCTACTCGGTCCAACACGAAGGACTTCCATGAGCGAAACAACGTGCTCCTCGAGCAAGTGCAGCTCGGGGTAATATGGCCAATGCCACGGGAGACCACCTCGTGCCTGCATAAGGCCAAGAATTGATGGCAAGAAATCTTTGATGAGCGCCTTCGACTTCAAGGACGCAATATTATATCTCCTCAGCAGTAGCTGCAGCGCTCTTGCTGAAAATATCACTGCAAGCATGCACTAGGCATGATTTAGTGAAGAGCTACTTGTACTAGCGATTGGAGATTTGGTGTTGGCATATCTGCTCCATCATGGTGACTGGTGCGTTTGTCAAGGCAGTGCAGTTTCTGCTGCTGTTTCACAAGCCATATGCGCATATGCGCAGTGAGTAGGAATTTGTTGTATGATAGCTGAGGATCACCAGCCTTCATGGACAAACCTATATTGGGACTGGTTGCTGAACAGTGCACACCTAAATCTCTCAGCAAGCTCTCTTGCTCAGCTGGTGACGAACACTATATACCCGCTGCTTTGGGCTTGCAGCCCCGTCTCCCGACCGTAGACCGATCGAAAGGCTGTCACGGTCCTGTGACCATCGGCGTACAGTTGACACTGATGGGGCATCGGATAAAGTGCTGGCGTCAGTAATTCTCTGGTATACCTGGAATCTACATCTACAGCTGGTTTCGACTTCCAGCCATCCTAAGCTAGTTATGCTTGTGACTATCATGCCAGCAAGTCGATCAGCAGCATCACCTCGCATCTTTGATGGTGAGGCCTGCAAAACGTCACCGACCAGTGACGATGCTCAAACAGGGCACCCTACCAGAGCTGGCGCAGTGTATGGTGCAGTCTTTCATGAATCCATAAACTATGCTGTTTGGCTGCTGTAGCTCTGACGCTTGCGTGTGTGCCTTACATTAAGGGCAGCGGGCCGTCTGCTCTAGCCATTTGCCAATGCATGCACGGCTGAACGTCTACCAGCAAGCTGCAAACACTTCTCTCCCTACCTGTGACATAGTGGACATTGTGCGTGTGTTATTGCATTCCTATCTGAACTGTTCTGGACGCAGAGATTTACCCACTAAGCCCTAGAGAAATATGAATAAATACTATACTACTACTACTACTACTATTACTAAACTTGGTATGCGGGTGTGACGTGCTGCTGCTCATCAGATTCGGTCCATGCGACGCTCGTGTTTTTAGTTTTGTTATTTTGTCTTCCTTTTTTGAATTCGTAAACTGAACAGACTAAACTATCCAGTGATCAGGTACTGGTGTGGTGGGGCGAGGTTTTGTTGGTGATGGTGCTGTCAGTGGTGGCGGCGTGCATGTGCTCGTGCTTGCGGGCGATGGCCCGCGTTTTCTCCCATGCCGCAAGTTTGTCTTGCGTTTGTGTTTTGCATTTGGACTTCCTGCCAGGCTTGGAAGACTTGCATTTCAAACAGTTTGTCCCACTGTGTGGCTCCCAGTCTTTGAACGGTGTACATCCACCTCTGGAGCTCCAGAGAATGTTGGGCCCCTGGCAGTAGCAGTGCATTCCATGGCCAATTTGCAAGTGTGGCAAAAAAGTTCAGGGTGTATTTGGTTTCATCCACATTGAGATGAAACACTGCCAAAATGGATTGAGTATGATCTGCCACACGATACTTCGTCCGTCCACTCCTTGACGCGAATTTCTCCCCTCCAATACGACAACACGACGACAGGAAGCTAACATGAGCCTCCATTTCTGAACAAAATAACGTCTCTAACATGGCCACGAAAAGCTACAGTGATGCACGTCAAGCTTAGGAATACACAAAATCGAAAGGCTAGGACATCGAGGTATACTAGAAAATTGTCTGCGAGGCGGAGAAAATTCGCTGACGAGGTTGGTGAGCCCTTGAAATCGAGCGACGATCCAAAAATAATTGCACCCACGTCGAGAAAGAAACCATGCGTAGCGCGTGGGTAACCCTAAAAGATCGCTCGAGCGGCGGCACAGTCGAAGGCAAGGCCAGTCCAAGCTCTAAACTCTATCGAATGACCTGGCAAACACCCGTGGTTTCGGTTGACCTTGCCCGTTTGAGATGGAAGTCGAGCGAAATTGCAAACATACGACTAGGCCAGGTCGCGTAAAAAATGAAAAAGATTAAAATTTGGCCGCCATATTAAGTGAACGCGCTTCGCATGCATGGGACAGCCGTGTAGAGGTCAACTCTGCGTAGTACACAAGCTGTTCTGTAAAACTGACGAAATAACAGAGCAGCTCGCCTATTAGTCAGAGTTGAGCTCTACGCATGCTAGTGAACATGTAGGTGTATAAACCTATTTCGAGGTATTATGTTGCATTGCTTCAAGCTGATACCGTTTGTGTCATTTGTCTTATTCGTTGCAGTTCCTCCCAGCATTGTTGTTGGGCCGGAAGATCGGACCGTGTCACCTGGTCAATCGGTTGAGTTCTTCTGTGTTGCCGAAGGTGTCCCAAAACCTGCCATACTGTGGATTCATGACGATAGAGAGGTATGCGTGCACATGCATGGATGTGAATGTTGTCAGGGTCTAGACAAACTATTACCTTTCACCGACCACGCCAATCACAGAACAACCATTTTGCTAGAGAGGGAATGTTTACAAGTGACTTGGAGGAGACGACTGGAAGAATGACAAATGACAAATAGCACTGAGACAAGAAGAGACAAGAGAATGTATCCAGGAACGCAGTGCACTCATCAGCAAGAAAGGTGCACGGGTAAGAGAAAAGTCGTACAACTAAAAGACCCAAACGGGAAGGGAGGCCAAGACAGCAGGCGCCAAATACAAGGCCGTCCCAAAGGGGACCAGTGCCGGAAGTACAGTTAAACCTGTCAAGGCGACCACTCTGATAAGGCGACCACCTGTCCTAGAGGACCACTACAAACCAGGATCAAGGGATGCCATTTCCAGTCAAATGACCCTGGATAAGGAGTCCACCTGTATCCGGGGACCACATTTGTAAGGTCCCTTGATGGGTCGGCTTAGACAGGTTCCACTGTACGTACAAAGCGGAAAGCGGGTGACAGAAATACATGTGAGTACAACGTTAACACCAATCCTGGAAAGCTCAAGTGACCACCGTCTGGCTATGAGGATAGGCCATGATCTCTGGTGGAGACATTCTGCTGCCTTTACCATAGCTCTGAATTACATGTGTTGATGCACACAAAGAAGTACAGTGCTGCGCAATGAAATCCAGTCGCGTTACTCAAGTACATGTCGGGTGTTGCGCAGCCCTAGACCTCCGAACACTCGGCTGAGAAATGGTGCAAGGCGCAAACTTGAGCGAGGCGACTGGATTTGATTCAACACGACTATACCTTTTTGTTGAGTGCAGCTTTGTGCAGCGTTGTGCAGCTTTGTGCAGCTTTGACAACGTATACATCTTACTGATAACTGTGTACTAATTTCGTCTTGGTTTCCTTGTGTGTAGGAGAACTGAAGGCGTTGAAGCCATGCACACAGTATACAATGCCAATAATATGATCATGAAATGTTTTATTTGTGCACATGTCAACTGTACATGTAGATTACGCCGGACCGAGCTGCACGCGAGGGCTTTGCGCTGCGTCAGGATGGCACTCTCCTAGTTCCGACTGTCAGTCATCAACACGCTGGCCGCTATCAGTGTGTTGTCATAAACTCACAGGGCCAGGATAGAGAAACAGCAGTGCTCACAGTGTTCTGTAAGTCACCGGCTGTGTTTTTATTCCTACAAAATCCAGATATCTCCAGACACTGGGGTGAATAATGGAGTGTGGTGCCATGGTGAGGCCCATCATGCGCAGCAGGTCTCGGCTTACTAGCTCCATATGGACGTGTGCTGGCTGACCCGAATGCATGGACTGTTGGACTATCTGTTTGAGTCTGTAAGAGATGGGGAAAGGCAGTCTAATGAAAGGGAGTGAGTGTAGATGTATGTTCACAGGATAGACCATGAGACATTAGCAATCTGGAGAAGAGAATTCTAAATTCTAGGCATCCCAAGCCCCTGACACCCTCAGCCAATCACAGTTCAGAAAGTGTTTTCTTCTTGGCTTGCTGATGGCTGAACTCTCATTGTTTCTGCTTGAGAAAGGGAGGAATGTCAGGAAGATGCTTGGACCAGTCAGCCACTTTTAACTGTATTGCTACACTGTGTGTATTCTATTTGACGCTAGCTGCCCCGGAAATCATCACACCGCCAAGTAATCAAGAAGCCCCTGTCAGTGGCCAGGCTGTCTTCCACTGCGTGGCACACGGCCTCCCCATACCAAATATCACCTGGGTGCGCAATGGAGAGGCAGTGGAGGTACAGCGTGGTAGTGTCAGCACTCGTGGTGGCTACCTCATACTGTCCAATGTGCAGGTTGCCATGGCTGGAGTCTACACCTGTGTGGCGATGAACCAAGTCTCGTCTGTACGGGCTAATGCCACCCTCACCGTACATGGTATGTAACTTACTGACGATACCACAAGTCTACTTACTGCAGTCAACTTTGCGTATACCGACACTCGGCGGGGCATCAGAAAAGTGTCCTTATTTGCGAAGTGACGTTATACCCGAAGTCTCATTATATGTATACAGGTAGAATGGACTTTGCTCTGGGCATGGACATTCTGTCGTTATTCGCGAATTGTCGTTATATCCACAGTCGTTATTAGCGAAGTTGACTGTACATGTGTGCCTGGCAATCTGTTCAAGCTGTTTAGTGGTGCAATGTGATCACATGTTGGCTTTCATTGTCTACCACATAAACTGTATTATCTACAGAAGAGGAGGGGTGGGGGGGGTGGGAGGGAGAGAGATTGTGTGCTGCCAATGAGGTTGGGGGGGGGGGGGGGGACTGGGCGTTTTCCATAGTAATTTGTTGGTCCTCTGAGTCCTTCCACTAGAGTGGCGCCATCTGAATGGCTGTTTAGGACGACGGTACAACTTTTCTGACCTTCTGTTGCTGTGTTGCTAGTGGCACCGACCGTGACTGGCGGTGAACAAGACAGGACAATCAAGGAAGGGGATAACATCGTCCTACATTGCCAGGTAGTGTACGCTAGCAGAGGAACTAATTATAGCTTAGTATTGTTAGCATTTCACTAGTGACATATCAAATTTCCAAATAATTTGTCTGCCTTTGCAATACTGGATTCAGGCATATTCCCTTCATAATATCATTAGAGGCGATAGCTTCTGATTAACATATGAATTACTGCCGCTTGTGGTTGTCGCAGCTCTACTTTGGTGTACAATTCAGTCTTTGCTCATGCTCGCTCTTGCTATATTAGATTTCAAATTACTTGTGGCATTCAACTTGTGTGTTTAGGTGGAAGGTTCACCAGACCCGGTTGTTTCCTGGCTCAAAGGCGACCGTCCTCTACTCGGCGAGCGATTCCAGCAGTTTCCCAACCACACACTGGTAGTGCAGAACGCACAGGCCACGGACAGTGGCATCTACAGATGTGTGGCTGTCAATCTGGTGGGCCGTGCATCGTTCTCGGCCACAGTGAATGTACAAGGTAGGTGAGAACACATTGACACATTGCGTTCTTTGGTAAACATTTAATGAAAGTTATAAATCTTTAAAATCTGAAAGGGTAAACGTCTGCAATAAACTAAAGCCAATTTCTGACAATTGTCTTGTCATTATTTGCCAATGTAGCCTGCAAGAGTTGATCATGTGATATGTGTCAGTGTTCCTTTCCCTGTACGTATGCTCTTGGAACAGAACGTGATGATGTTGCAGTGCCATTGTAGTAGCACAGGATACATGTAACACTTCTGCAACCAGTACATTGTCTACTGTAGCATACAGAGATACACCATTGTTCTTTGCTGGCACATAACTTAATCCAACTATTTCTTTCATCTTTTTCTTTCTTTCTTTCCGTTGATAAGTTTGTTCAGTCTGAGCTCTAACTCCTGAGAACTGAGCCGGGTGAATTTACATTACAGTTTTTGTGGGCGCATCCTGGGTCTCTTGAGTCTTGATGTTAAGTTTGGACCTGAGAATAGCAAAAATGACCTTTTTATTCTGTTTCATTATATCAGTGATTACAAATGTCACATTCCTTTCCTTTGCCATGCATTGGAGTCGATGATAGCAGTATGTTGGGTCTCTTTGTGCCCTAACTGCAGTTCCACCGCACATTGACGATTTATCGGAAATGCCCTACGTGATCGAGGGCGACGTGGCTGTTCTGCCGTGCAACGCGTACGGAGACCCTCTTCCCAGGGTTACCTGGTACAATGGTGAGCTGCCGATGCAGATGGGCGGCCGCTACTTCATGCGACAGGACAACGCATTGGAGATCCAGTATGTGGAGCAGGCCGACTCTGGTATGTATCAGTGCCGGGCAGAGAATCCGGCTGGAACCTACAGGATGGATGTATCACTGGATGTCAAAGGTATGTTTCTGTCAGTATTCTTGTGTGTGTGTGTGTGTGTGTGTGTGTGTGTGTGTGTGTGTGTGTGTGTGTGTGTGTGTGTGTGTGTGTGTGTAGGGGGGGGGGGGGTGTCATGCCTGACCTGCCCTCGGAAGTTCACACATCCCCAGTATATGGCTGAACACAAATGTGTGTGTGTATGTGTGTGTGTTTGTTTGTGTGTATGTACGTGCATGCGTGCGTGCGTGTGTGTAAGCTAATGATGACAATGCTCTGCCATGGTGCCTGAATCAATGAATATTCAAGTCAATAATGTAACTATTATGATGTTATAATGTGTCAAATTGGTAGCACTAATGTGCTCATGTCTTTTGTTTACTGCAAAATATGTAATTTTAAGAGCATTAAAATTTTAGTGCCAGGGACCTGCCAGGTTTCAGGTGTAATGTAGAATTAGATGACCAGCGTTCCCATCACATACAGTGCATATTCTAGTGCCTTTCAGGTGTAATTTAAACTTAGATGCCTGGTTTCTCCACCGCAATCACCGAAAATTACGTATTTTACAGCATTCCCGAGCTCCCTGATGCCAAGTAAACAAAAGCTGACTGCGACACATGTTGTACGTATTGGTGTGTTCCATTCCTGTAAGTTGCGCCATACATTGTCAAACCATGCCTCCGGTACCCACCGCCTGCTTTGAAGTGAATTCGAGTCCTCCCGTCCATAACTATTGCCAGCATTTCTTACTGTTTCTTACTGTTTCAGCTGCATAGCTATGATAATTACTGCTGATATGTGTGTGCTTTTGCAGAGCCTCCTAAAATCCTTGTACCATCCAGCATGCCTGCCCCGACAGTTGCTCAGGGCGGAGATACCGTACTGCAGTGCCCTGCTAGCGGCAACCCGAGACCCACAATAACGTGGCTACGTGATGGCCAGGAGATCAATTTCAAAGCGGACGGCACAGCTGTCGACGATGCCAATATGCGGCTGCACGGGGATGGTTCTCTGAGCATTGCCAGTGCAGGTGCCAAACATGCTGTTACATATCAGTGTGTAGCAACAAATGAAGTGGGCAGAGACACCTATCCGTTCCAGTTGGTGGTGCAAAGTAAGAGTCCATTAGGCCCATATCATGTTGAATTCTCTTCTTCCATTGTTGTGCACTCAAACCTATATGCATGGCAAAATCCCATTCTGTGCATTGTGTAAGAAATACAATATTATTAGCATGCCTGCCCTGACAACTGGTAAACATTGACCTCTTGAACATGTGTGAACATGTATAGCGTTTGAAAATGCTTTCAAAGATCTTTGCCGGACTACGAGACTGTATTATCCATGAACGTTTTTTATAGTTGCATCAAACTGATTGGCATTTAATATGCTGTGCTTATGCTCTCCTTCATTCCTGTCCCATAGCTAAGCCACGTATCAACAGCCCCGATACGTCCATTATACTACAGCGTGGGCAGCATCTACAGTTACGCTGCACAGTACTGGGTATTCCACAGCCAACGGTACGATGGCTGCACAACGGCAGGCCAATGCAGCAGACCGTCTCGCATGCACGCAGCACCTACAAGCAGAGCGATGCGCTTGCCACACTGCTCGTGTCAAGCGTGGTGCCGAGCGATGCCGGCGTGTTTGCTTGTGAAGCGGTGAACGCTCTAGGTACTGCACGGCACAACGTTACGGTGGATGTGTATGGTAAGTTGATGCTGGTATGGTGAGTGTGACTAGCTGGTGTTGTCAGTGATGGTATTGTCAAGCTGTGTGCAGCTTGTGTGGTCATTGATGGCACTGTCAAGCTGTGTGTAGCTTGTGTGGTTGTTGCATAGATACGTGGTCAATGTGGGCTTTCCAGACACATGGGAATTTGTGATTATTGGTAGGACATATGGTATCTGCAAAGACCCATGTATGAAGCCAAGTGACACATTATCCGGCGAGTGCTTGCAAGACACACGTTGAACAACATTGTATATTGGCAAAGTGTTGTACCTGTAGAATGTGAAGAGAGGGTCAGGGTCTAAACAGCGTTAGTCGCGTTGATTTCTTGGATTGTTTTGTTTGGCATTCTTTCATGCCAGTATGGCAAAGGGCTCTGTCCAGGAAGTTTGTCCGTGTGTATGTTTTTTCTCTGTTGTTTGCGTGTTCCAGTTGCACCGGAGATAGTCAACCCACAGGCCGACATCAACATGATACCTGGTACCAACGTGCAGTTCACTTGCAGTGCTGTCGGTCATCCCACACCTCAGATCACATGGTACCGAAATGACCAACCTGTTCCCCGGTAAGTCACAACCAGTCACGTTGATATGGAGACCAGATCAGGGTGTGCAGAGGAAAATATAACCGAGCAACCATGATGCCAATGCTTTCAGCCATTGGAGCTACTTTATTAGGGGCAAAACCGGACTGAACAGTAATGTTGTGCGTTAGCCCTTTGATGTTGATGTAGCTGACGTATGTGCTCACAAAGCTCTTCACCTTTTTATTTTTTTTATTTTACGCCTGCATTCAATGCAATGTCGTGGCTGTGCTGTTTTCTGTTGTTTACCACGCTCAGGAGGTTGGTAACGGATAGTGATGGCAGTCTGAACATTGCGGCTGTGATTGCTAGTGACAGCGGCGTGTACCGCTGTGTGGCTAACAACAGTGTGGATAGAGTCTCGCACAGTTTCCGTGCATTTGTGCAAGGTGAGGTGCAGTGAAACACACCTGTAATCACAATAAGGTAGCTCATAACCCCTCCAAAGCGCACAAATACATACCCTCAAATACATACCCTAGTATATTGATTTTGTCATTCTGGACACCCCTAGGATTGCAAAAAAGGTGTCAAACTGGTGAATGTTCGGAAAAAGTATTTTTTGGCATGAGCTACCTAAACAAATTGGGTATTTCACTGGTTATGTTCCCTCGGTATGTTTGTATAGATGTCACCATTGTCATGCTTTGGAACACATGTTATTTCACCTTCCAGGTAAAGTTCTTGTTTGGTGGGCAGAGCCCCAGTGCAATGTCAATATCTTGCGCTTTCCATTTAATGACAAGTGCAGTCCAGTAGGAATGTGCCTCTGGCTTCAGGGGTGCCAAGTGCAGTAAGATTGTCACGGCTGTAGTCAAAATTGGATTCAATAGCCTTCTGTGTAATTTATTTATTTGGTCATGTTTGTCTCCTTTCTCTCATAATCACAGAAACACCCAAGATATCTACAGAGCCCACTGTGCAGCAAATCATTGCAGGAAGTACTGTTTGGCTTCACTGTGTTGCCACGGGCAATCCGGAACCCACGTTGTCGTGGGAACGGAGCGGCGTCCAGGTGACCTCGTTTGGCCGTGATCGCATCTATGACAACGGCACCCTGGTGATCAGTGATGTGCGGCCCGGGGATGAGGGCAGCTATGAATGCTTTGCACGCAACCCAGCCGGTCATGCATCTGTTGTTCATAGCTTTACAGTACTCAGTAAGTCAACATGGCCGCTGAAGTATGACTGAGACAGTGTTGTGCGTGCAAGTTGTTATATTTCTACTACACATTTTGCTACGGTATCATAGTATGTACATTACGCATGCTGAGATTGGATTGCTGTTGTTGTGTTACCTAACCAAGAACCTTGGAAGTATGAATCTGTGATGATTTGTGGATGAATGCGAGGATGCAACGAGAGACTGTATCTTAGTCCGCAAGGGGACAGGACATAACAGACGCGTTGTTCACATTGCTTATACCACAGTGTTGGTCAGCTTAACTGATGTGATAGATTTGGAAGGTGTTTAGCAGTATACACTACAGCATTTCTACTCCATTTGTTGAAGTAACGTGGGCATGTGTCAGCACACAGCAATTGCTGTTCCATTATGAAACGTTTCTTCTCTCTGTTTGTTCCTTTCCTGTGTGATAGTTGTACCGTCATTCCTGCCACCACAGCCAATCACACCGTGCCTATCAGTGCTGTTCGGTGCCACAGCCGTGTTCCAATGTAGAGTAACTGGCAGACCTGTTCCCGTGGTGACCTGGCGCAAAGCACCATCCTCTGAGGTATGCCCACCGGGCTTTGCTCATCCTGTTTCCTCCACTGCTAAAGTCCATTATTATAGAATGTTCCTAAGAATAAGGCAACTATTTTATCATGATTGTGTGTGTGGGGGCCACTGCACACACACTCACGTCTGGCACGTATCCGTTACTGGTGACGTGTTATTTTATGATTATGATGAAAATCATCCAGGATGAGAATTGTCCTGACTTGTATACTTACAAGGTGAGGCAATGGTGTGAATATTGGGATGAGATATACAGTTCCAGTAGGTAGTTTTCAGTACAAACAACAGAGTTCTCTGTTTACTTTAGTGTACTGCTTAGCCCATAAGGAGGTGATCCTTTTACCGAAGCTCTCATCTCGATTGTTTTGGATTCCTTGAATTTCCTCTCCTTCCAGAGCATTGTGTCGGGACAACGACTGAAGGTGACCAAGGCTGGATCACTACAAATTGATGACATTAGTCCCGGAGATAGTGGTGTGTATGTTTGCTCGGCTACCAATGCTGCCGGCAAAGTGGAGCAACGTCATGAGCTCTGTGTGCAAGGTAATGTACCGTATTTTACCGGTTGTAAGTCGACCCCGGTTATAGGTCGACCCCCGTATTCGGAGGTCTCAATTCTGCGTTTTCAAGTTTTCACCCAAAGAAGAACTACTAACCACTCCCTGCTACTAACCCATCAACAAATCATGTAAACCTCCCTTGGTGGAGGGTATAACGTCCCAATACTTGAAAAAGGCCAATAAACTGGCAAAAATGTGTACACATGATGCACTCGTGCATACAGTGCAGGTCATTTTTTGTAAGATACTTACAGTTCCCGGTTATAAGTCGAATCCCGGTTGTAAGTCGACCCCCACCCTTTCTCGTTCTATTTTAAGTCGTAAAAGGTCGACTTACAACCGGAAAAATACGGTATTATAGATTAGCGTTAGCATAACACGTGTGGTTTTATCCTTGGTCAGTGCACTGCAAGCATATGCATGCTTGAAGGGTGCTCAGGCCTGCTAATTTGAGTGCCTTCGCCCTAGCACAATGCCAAAGTCGATCATGAGCACTGCCACATGGTACATGTACCATGCGCATCTCCCCAAGTGTGTGTGCACGCACCTCCACGCACACACACATGCACGTAAACACACATGCACGTAAACACACACACACACACACGTACACACACGTACACACACGTACACGTACACACACACGTACACGTACACCCCCCCCCCCCCACACACACACACGTTTGAACTTTTGACGCCCATCGCCAGAGGCGATGATAGCAATGCTACGGCAGAAGCCATAGCAACTTGTGCTGGGATTGCACCATTCAACAGCTTGCAAGGCTGAAGAATTGACCGTCACTATTCAGCCTGGTCTACACCATACAGCTATTTGAAGTGACTTGTTCTGGCCAGTGAATCCTTATTTTTGGTCTTTTTAATTTTTTTTCTCACACACATCACACCACATACTCCGGCATGCACTGGCTGTTGGTAACCACCCAGGAGAATGAAAGAAAAGTCAGGAAGAGTATGAGAAAGAGAAGAAAGACATGTGTGACCATAATCGTCGGGAATCGAACCCGCAACCTATCGACACACACACACACACACACACACACACACACACACACACACACACACACACACACACACACACACACACACATAAACACACATAAACACACACACACATAAACACACACACACACACACACACACACATTTGCTTAACCTATTTCGCCATACTAAGGCTGGTTGACACATACCTTCTTTCCTATGCAGAACCACCGTCAATACTGTTGAGCCTACTGGACTGGACTGTTGTAGCTGGACAAATGGTCACATTGAGGTGCGATGTGACTGGCATGCCTCATCCACGCGTAGCCTGGCTCAAGGACGACCGTCCCCTGCCGGGAAGTGATCGTGTGGTGCAGGATATGGATGCCACGCAGAGCGCTACACTGCAGATTACTGAAGCTCTGGTGTCGGACGGTGGCAAGTACACGTGTGTGGCAACGAATGATGCTGGTAGTGCACAAGAGAGTGGTACTCTTATTGTACAAGGTAAGCTGTCCGGCTTGTGTCCAGCTTTGTGCTGAGATATGCACAGCAAACCTAGTCACTATGTGCCACCATGAAGTACTGATGTTACGCTTTTCAACGGCCGTAAGGAAGTTGGAAAGCACGTGTCTTTGTGCGTAGCGATGACGATCATGGTGGTCCGGTGCAAGTCAGCTGCAAAGCAGACACATGCCAACGTGTTCCTCACTGCCCAGTGACCTGATTTTCTGATATTATAATTGCCAGCCACTGGCAATGCTGCTACTCTGTGGTGTTCTGTGTTGTGTTAATTGGGTGAAACACACCGATAAAATCATTAAGTTAGGCTTATCAACTGTAGGGTGTATATGGTCAATGGTTAGCTATGTTTGCTATGGCTACAAATGCTCACCTCCTCAAGCTCAGCACATGCTGACATTAGCTGATGGTTCTAACTTGGTGCTGTACCTGTAGGACCATCAGAATCCATAGATAGACGGGCAGAATTTGAAGAGAACTCAGCTTTTCAAACTACCACTATCATTGATTTATTGCTCATGCTGTGGTTGTAATTGGGTTTTCTATTTGACAGATAATTTTGGGTTTGTTTTCTCTGCTCTGCTTACAGTTGCTCCCATCTTCAAGATAGTGCCGTATGACATAGACCCGGTGGTTGGCAGTAGCATAGTGCTGCCATGTGCTGCCAAGGGTGTTCCAGCACCATCCATTCAGTGGACTGTCGGGTCGTACGTTCTACCTGGCAGTAACCCTAGGTAAGTGGAGTGGGATCGAGGAGTGAGAGGTTGCCTGTTGATTATTTCAATTGTATACGCTGTGCTGCCATGTGAAATCTATCTGCTGGGTCTCAGCCTCTTTGCAAGGTTCCAATGGGTTCATAGGATACCACTGTACATTATGGGGCTAATGCTACATATTTCAGATAAGGGTAACATTGGAGTGCATGATCCGGTACAGTGCTGTGTGTTGCTGAAGAACTGGGGATCAGCCTCCTTGCCTCGGCCATTCTTATTTTCATGTACTGCAGTCTATGCACAGTCGAGTCCCCGTGTACCGTATATATTGGTATGCTGTGCTTGGTGAAATTCTAGCCTGTTCGTTCTTCATGTGTATGCTGTGCATGGTGAAATTCTAGCCTGTTCCTTCTGCGGCACCCTACAGTACTGCATTGCTTGCAGAGTGTGAGCTCAAGATATCTTTCTATGTGCCATATGTTCCCTATGCTGTAGATTTTCAATGAAGAATGGCGGAAGTTTGGCCATCTCGGATATTGTGGCTGACGACGCAGGGACATACGTGTGTGCAGCAAGTAACAGCGCCGGTTCCGTGAAAGCCGCAGCTCAGGTCTCAGTGTTAGGTCAGTGTTAGGTCAGTGTTAGGTCAGTGTTAGGTCAGTGTTAGGTCAGTGTTAGGTCAGTGTTAGGTCAGTGTTAGGTCAGTGTTAGGTCAGTGTTAGGTCAGTGTTAGGTCAGTGTTAGGTCAGTGTGCACTCTGCATCTACACACTCACCTCTACAGTATTCAGTATCTGTTCTTGACGGTTGTGGCTTATCATCTTTAAGAATCCTATGACTCGATTGTCCGGTGTGAGCGTGCATCTCAGCTAACTCATAGTGCGGGTAGGGTTTCTTGTATAGTTGTTGTGATGGTGTGTTTCACAGGGGCTTCGGACACGCTACGGTCACTACGGTATTGACCGTACTACATGTACCTTTTGCTCCATGTATTCCGTGAATTAGTAAAATACGCTCATCTGGGCTCTAAAATTTCAAAATTATTGGCTCAGCCACCTCTCCCACACGAGTAAATTGTACTTCAGATGGCTGACCGTACCACACTAAAATACCTCCCGACGCCCCTGGAACTTCATACGTACAAGCAATGCCCTTCTCGTGGATGTGTTGTGTTTGTTCTGTTGCACAGTCGCACCCCGTATTATCCAGGGGCCGGTTGACAAGTGGATCAGTGCTGGTGAAACGCTGACGCTGAAGTGCAGAGCACGCGGTTCACCAATGCCAACTCAGACCTGGTTACACAACGGCGCAGTGATGCAGGTATGGTTGTAGCAGGGTGTCTTGATATTGATTAACATCACCTCTCAGCCTTAATCTTCAGTGCACAGATCAATCAACTCTACATTGCACACAGTGACTGATTACTGTGCATTGTCATATGTGATAAAAAAATAACTCGTCAAATACAATTGAAGATTGAAAGGGATGACGTGAAATACAATAGGGTAGTGGTAATATGGTATGGGATTACTACTTTGGATCCAATCTTTCGTAGATTTCTTATGGTGGGTACATAAACATTCATGTTCCATGCTGGCAATACTTACCGGCAATGCTGATAGCCATACTGAATTAATCTCGTTCATTCCTTGTTGGTTTTTGATCTGACTTTTTGAATGAACACTATGTGATCCATTCATGATTCACACAGTTTGTGGATGACACTCTGGGTCAAAGTGTCCTGTCGGACGGAACACTACGCATTGAGAGTGTTGAGGCCAAGCACACTGGTGTCTACCGATGCCGCTACAACAACTCTGCAGGTGCTGTCACACGCAGGGCCAGAGTCAATGTGCAATGTAAGCCAAGAGAATGAAGTTTCTGAGACCACGTTGGGTGTTGAGTTGGGGAGCCCTGAAATTTCTTGTGCCATGTTTTGCTGAAAACTTTTGTTCATTTTTACGGACAAGGCACCGTTGCACTATTTTGTGATGATTAGACCTGTAGAACAAAGCTTACCGCTATTGTGAACCTGTGAACATTATAGGGGCGTACCTTTTCGCTCTAAATCCACAGTGAAAAAGTGTCCTCTTATTGTGTGTAGAATGCTTTTGTACTACAGGCTTTGAGCTCTGTCATCTGTGTGCTGATGATGGAAATCCAAGGTTGTCAACAAAGAACTTGAAAACATTCTGTGCTAGCTATCCTTATATTGTCTATTGTTGTTGACTTTTGTAGTGTTGTGTCTGAAGTACAGTGAAGCCTGTCTAAGATGACCCCTCAAGGGACCGGCAACAGTTTTGTTTTTTTCACGGCTGAGCGTAGCGAAAGAGTGCAAAAAACGTATTTTTTACTCGCAAATATTTTCATGCGTTTGCTCTTGTTCTGCGCAACTCCGTTGAACCTGCCATCATGGTCTTTGTTTTTCCTCGTGGTTGTTGAAGTTTATCGTGAGTGTGATTGCTCTGGTAGACCACTACCCAATGTACTGAACAGTTGCTTTGTGAGTGAAAATGTGGTCTTTGTTGCCAGGTGGTCTCCTTATCCAGTCATTTGGCTGCAAATAGCATCCCTTGGTCCTGGTTACAGTGGTCTTCTGAGGCAGGTGGTCGCCTTATCAGAGTGGTCGCCTTGACAGGTTTTCCTGTAGTGATTTACAGTTTTCATGTTTTGTTTTCGTTTTACGTTGCATTGCAGTTGCACCAGCCATTGTCGATAGCCAAAGTGAAGTGTATGCCCAGGCTGGCGCCAACATTGTACTGCGATGCACCGGCCAAGGATCTCCCACGCCTGCCATGTGCTGGCTAAGGGATGGTAAACTGGTGATATCCGAAGACAACGTACATATCATGGACGGAGGTGTGCTACTCATTGCTAATGCACGGCAAGATCAAACTGGCACTTACACGTGCAAGGCTACAAACATCCTGGGAGTGGAGAATGCCGACAGCCAAGTCATCATCCTGGGTATGTAGTATGTATATGTATTTGGGTTTTTTTTCAAAACTTTGGTTTCAGCTTGATCCCTTTGGGTAAGCACTAAATTCGCACCTGCATCTTCCATCTTGTTTATCCATGTCTGTCTTTGTCTTCTGCCCCAAGGTTACTTTGTGCTCTTCTTTGTGTTCATGATTAATGACAGGCATATGCTAATGGTGCAAGCTGAGATGCCCATTTTTAGTCCACCATGTTAGAGGCTTCCAGGCTAGATGGAGAATTCTCTCTCTCTCTCTCTCTGAACAATGGAAATTGTACATTTTACATTAGTTTGCGCGGATTTTGTCTTTTGTGTGTAGCCCCAACAGCCGGTCAGCCAGGTCCAATGCCGGCTGGTACCACCCCGGGATCCAGCGCTGATTACCCGCTGCCCGCCTATACACCATTCCAGCCCATTGAGTTACGCTTCCCTTTGCCGCCCAGCCAGCAATCTCCATCGGTTGCTGTCCTGATGGATCTGCCGTGTACTTCCGGTGTTGCCTACCCAAATCCAATATGGATGAGGAATGGGTCACCCTTGCAAGCTGGTAACAAGTATGAGGTGTTAGGTTCTGGGGCATTGCGCCTGAGAAACCCAACAAGGGCCGATCGGGGAGTGTACGAATGTACAGACATGGGTGATGACGGCTCCATTGTGCCCATCAATGATGTTTTCGTCGTATTTACTGGTAAGTAGCTGATTGCTATTTAGTATAAAGGTAATTTGAAGCATAACCTGATAACCACAATCAGTAAGACAAGCATAACCATTGGAATATAATATTGGTTGTGTTGATGGTTAGCTCCAGTGCTTGACACGATTTAAAATGAGTTACTAAATGCAACATGTTCCCATGTTTTCAATTTTATAATTTGTATGTGTGTATGTGCGTGTGTGTGTACGTGCATGCGTATGTGTATATGTATGTGTGTATGTGTATGTGCATGAGCATGTGTGTATCTGTGTGTATGTGTGCGTGCGTGCATGTGCGATTATTTTGTTGTCCTCAGGTGAGGGTGGTGAACCAATTAGCAGCGACAGTGATGAATATCCGCTTATTCCAAGGACTCCACCGACACCGCCACCGACTTCACCAGCGCCTATCATCACCTGTAAGTAGAAATCCACTGCGTTTGATTGGCTGTTGACATAGTTACAGTCGACAGGTTTCGAGCCAGCTTGGATCTGGAGTCGGGCTGGCTTCACCATGATTTGGCACTGAACCCATGGCATCACTAGATACCATAATATTCATGACAATGCAAGAAAAGCGCGTCACTTTGGGAGTGCTTTTACGTAGCAAAGATGCAGAGATGCACGCTTGTGTTTCTGAACCCTTGCCCTTGGCATAATTTTCATGCTGGTCTTGACTTCTTCATCCTCTCTCTCGCAGCGGAATTCACCGTCACACTACCTGTCAGTATCAATATCACTAGTGTCAGCTGTGGCCACCAGCTCAATCTCTTCTGTGGTGAACGAAGTCAGAATGCTGCCGTCTGGACCAAGGATGGCCTGCCTGTCGTTCCTGGAAACGACCTGGAGTTGACAGTCAGTGGCGGGTTGATCATTCCAGAATCACAAGTCGGTGACGCAGGTGTCTACTTCTGTTATCGTAATGGAGACGTGGTGCAGGCCTACCAAGTCAATGTGGAAGGTAAGTGGAGAATGGACAGTGAGAGGGGGTAGGGAGACAAGTTTGGGTGTGTGTGTGTGTGTGTGTGTGTTTGTGTTTGTGTGTGTGTGTGTTTGTGTGTGTGTGTGTATGTATGTATGTGTGTGTGTGTGTGTGTGTGTGTGTGTGTGTGTTTGTGTGTGTGTGTGTGTGTGCGTGTGCGTGCGTGTGTGCGCATGTGAATGTATGCATGCGTTCATGATAACTGCACTGAATATACTCAAATCTCAATACTGTTCCTTCGGAGAAATGAAATGTTATGGAGTGTTTTCCACTGTACTCAGTACATTGAAAATATCGGTCAGGTGTGCTAAGTTGTGTAAAAATTTAGTTCACTTCTCATTGTCCTCGATACAACTAGTACATGTACCCTTGGAATGAGTACATTGGAAATGGGTCAGGACAGGAAATTACCTGCGATGGGCAGAAGCTGTGTGTAGTGTGTTCATCACTGACCTGCATGTATTGCCTGAGACGTAAACCAAGTATGCCAAGGCAAAGAGCATGCTCGGATTTGAGATTCACAATATGGAATTTTGCTGGTGTGTGTCAGCAGGGGACTCCCAAATTGGCCTGGTTTTGGGTAGTTTTTGGGACAACACCGAGTCCAGTGTGACATGAACAGGAAAAATGTCTGTCCCATTACCACTAATCTGAGAAACACCTATTCTCGTTTGACGAGGCTAACATTTAGTGGGACCTCCTTTCGCAAGAATCACAAGCCCAGATGACATCACCTGCAATAAAATGTCTCTCGTGCTATCGATGTCTCTGTGTGTCTGTGTGTGTATTACTGGTTGTACAGTGAGTGGTCACATGACTGTCTATCCAGTGCTCCCGTCGGGCGCCACAACCGTGTTTATCCTGCTGGAGGCCTCCGTACTAATGACGTGCCGTGTTGTGACCTGCGCCCAGTACACTGTACAGTGGTTCAAGAACGGACAACCCATACAGACCCTAGCTGGCAAGTTTGAGGTGAGCAGTACATACCTTGCTATCAGCCAGCGTGAATTGTAGTTTTTGTTCCATATCGCAACCCTGTGCTCAGTATAGCATGCAGCAACAATGTTGACTTTGCCCATTTGCTGTTAAAAATCTCTATGTCAATTCTTTTTTTCACTGCAGATGTTCCCAAATGGCTCAATGCTCTTGACAAATATGGAAAGAAGTGACCGAGGCCGGTATTACTGCCGTGCCACAAGTGCTACAAACTACACTGAAAATGAAATGGTTCAGCTACGCTTCTATGGTAAGGCATGTTTACGACGTGGAGAGCACCATATCTGGCTTGAACTATTCCCACAGTCCTCCCTTGGTGATGATACAGGTGGAATCCTGATAATTCGAATATGGCTTGATTCGAACATACCGCTTAATTAGAAGTTTTTCCAGGACCGATTTCTGTCAATACGATTCCCACATAATTTTTTCTGATAATTCGAACCTCGAACCGGACATGTCCGATTAATTCGAAGTTCCACAGATTCCACTTGCATAGAAAATGTGTGGGATTTGTGCTGATAATTCGAAGTTAGCAAAGTGTAATTCGAAGTTCACTGTACACTGTACTGGTCAGTTCAGTTTGCATGAGCAGGCTGTGTCGGTCAGTTCAGTATCCGTGAAATCTATTTCTAAGGTCCACAGCGCAACTCTGGGTGACCATGAGAGCATTTTGACATACATATTGTGTTGTGGGTTCATGTTTGGATAATTAGAATGTCAGGATAATTAGAAGTTTTTTGCTGCCATTTGGAGGTTCGAATTTTCAGGATTCCACCTATATTGTGACTGGTTCTCTTGTTCATTCCACCTTGTGTTGTATGATATAAGCCTTGCTCACCATTTGCCAGTTTGCCAGAAAATTATATTTTGACCCTTCCTTTCCTATGCCTGATATTATACTGTAAACTGAGGATAAGAAGTTGGAGTGGCGTAAAGTTTGCTATAATTCATGCTATCTCTGATGCTTTTTTCGTTATCCTGGCTATCTGTTTTTTTATATTTATCTCTATTATATGGCGTAATGGTATATGTGTACCATCGTGACTGTATTTTTGTGTCTATTTAGTACCACCGACAATAGATACACATCCTCTTCCTCGACGGCTGGTTGTGGATGCTAATACTGCTTTCCACTGTACCACTGCGTCTGGCAGACCACGGCCGACGATCTCTTGGACAAAGAATGGCGCTCCGTTTGATGTGAGCGCCACACCGCGATACGAACAGCTGTTGAACGGCTCTCTGGTCATCCGTGGTGTTCAGGTTGAAGATGCCGGTGTGTATCGTTGCATGGCCATGTCTGGTCCGCTGATAGCCGAGTCCAAGCCTGGTACACTGTGCGTCAATGCACGTAAGTGAACCAAAGCTACAACATCAAATGCAGTTACTGGTGCAGTCCGCAATATGCGCGGATTCCACTGTAGCCTCCAATCCTGAAGATGGGCCGTGCCTGAAAGTCCGGATGATTCTTTTCTCTTTCAATGATGGGTGTAGTCTAGTGACCTATTGGAGCCTGTGTTGTGAAGATGAATGCTGTTTTTCAGATACTACTGCAGCTGGCATTTTAATAGAACATGCGAATGCCCCAATTTCAGATTCTTTCCTGGAGAGCTTTGGCCATGTTTTAGTGTCCAAAGCGACACAACTCAGCATTGAATACTGCGGAGAGACTGGCTGAATGACACGTGTGCTATAGATGATGCCCGTGCGGTTTTGCTAAAGGGTAGGATCTATGCAGTGAAGTGCACACGTTGAGTGAGTAGATCGAAGGACGTGTACTTGTTAAATTGCAGCTTGGTTATTGTATAAGATTGGTGTTGAAGTACAAATTTGCCTCTGTTGACACGTTCCCTGAAGCACACACAGGGGGATATTTTGTATATCACGAGTATATGTGACGGTTCAGTGTCTACTCCAGAGCCGGGTCAGCCGGGTCAGCGAACCGGTTGGGGGTTCTTGGACCCGTTTGGAAAAGAACACCCGGTCACTTGTGACCCGGTTGGCAGTCATGTCGAGTACGTTTTGTTATACTGTACTTCGGCCAGGGTAGACACTGATAATGGTGATATGATATGACAGTCTGCAGCTGGTGAAGGTGCGCGTGGACAGAGTGCCCAGTAGGGCCAGTACGTTCATACAACGTCGTAAACTATTTTAGTCTAGACTCCCTGATGTACTCGTACAGTAGCCACCCTTGAACATACCCGGCTCTGAACCGGTTGTAAGAGTTGTGCCAGGTACACGTGTACCCGGTTGCAAGAGTTGTGCCAGGTACACGTGTACCCGGTTGGTTAGAAATCCTGTGAAGCAGACACTGTGATCTGGTTGTGTGTTCTTTTAACTTCCTTGTTTGCAGCTCTTTCAGTGTTGGACAATGCGATAGAGTTTGGAACACGCTGTATTTGTAAGTGGCACCTTTCTATCCTTCCCACCAACAAGAACTGAGTTATCCTACGCATGATAGTTCATGCCGAAACTGACGCAGGCCTACAACGACAACATAGCATGTTTATCTAGGTTTTACCCATTCTACTGACTGACACTTTGTGGGCATAATGCTGGTGCATTAAAGGTTATGTGTCTGTTTGTGTTTGCAGTGGTTGTCTTTGCAGTGTTTGTGTTTGCAGTGGTTGTGTTTTCAAGAAAATTTGTGCATGTTTCCACCGTGTGTGTTTCAAGAATATCATGACTCTGGTGATATTCTGTGTGTGTGTGCAGTTGATATTGATGGTGAGTTCAGTGATTGGACGCCGTACACGACATGTCCCGTGACGTGTGGTGGTGGCCAGCGTACTCGTAGTCGTCAGTGTAACAACCCGGCACCGCAAGGCACTGGGCATGCATGCCGTGGCCCTGCCCGGGAAACAGCTAGGTGTGGAGAATCAACTTGTCCCAGTAAGTCAGAGCCATGTAGATAAAACTAGCTATAGCTGCATGGAGGAATGAATTAAAGCTCACTTGGGTAGCATTTTCTTCGGGTATCGGGTTCGGGTAGTTTTCCACGGGTAGCACGGGTACCCGATCAGTTAATGGCTCCATGGTAACACCACAATGCACCCCTTCCCCCTTATATACTGGGTAGACATGCGGAGTATGACATGAATTTGTACACGTGCACTGTACATGATGTCATCTACGACTTCGGGTTTTCGGGTACTATTCTGTACCCGTCTACCCGAGGTCCTCACGGGTACCACGGGTACCCGACTACCCGTGCACACCACTAAGTTAGAATGAATTATAGAAAAGAACTAGATTCACTGCTCTGGTACTGAACTTGCACCAGGTGACAAATAGCTAAACAGGGCTGGCATATTGCCAATGGATGAGGGATTATTCATTCAGGACTGTAATGAATAAAGTGGTCAGCAGCATTCAGCCTGAACAGAACATTTCTGATCCTTCTTGGCAAAATGGTGTACATGTGTATGCATGTCATCTGAGCTTGATTCTTATCATGGACAGTTCTTACTGTGTGTTTGCTGTGCGTGTTCAGTTGATGGTGGCTGGAGTGACTACAGTATACAGGTACAGTGTGGTCAAGCCTGTAGTGATGACAATACCTATCAGATAGAGGTGCGCTACTGCAACAACCCACCACCGCAGCACGGCGGGCTCACGTGTCCTGGCAGTCCGACACGACAGACGCAATGCGTGCTGCCGAGATGCAATGGTTAGTGGTACTGGACGGGTGTTGTCGAGAAGCTCTGGTGTGTGGCTTTGAGTTGTGTGTTCGTATACAACTCCTAAGATCATACACAGTCATACACAGTGCAGTAACATATGAAATTTCCACAATTTTCTCGGGCCGAATACATATTTTCATAAGTTTGAGGGTTTTGAGACAGGAAGATTCTGCAGTACGTATTTGACAGCTAGCACGATACGAGTACATGTCTGTTGTTGCACACTGGATCAAAGTGGTTCTCAAGTATAGCTTTGTGTGAATCTTCTGCACATCTTTAAAAGCCACTATGCTGAGAGTGTACAGTCTTCATCGAGTGTACTCCTGAAGAATACTACTCACAGCATCTGAATTTCCATCCTGTGTCGGTCAGTGCTCTCAAACGTACTGATACAAAGTCCTTTATCCTTCCCTTTCCTCATGTCTTGGTATCATGTCTCTACCCATGTAGCTAGTCTAAGTCTCTCTCCAAACAAACAAATCTTTGTAAGCCTACTGTAGAATCAGTATAAGCAGGTTTTCTAAAATAGTAACTTAAGCTATGTTGTATGTGATGTGTGCAGTTGCTGGTAGCTGGTCTGACTGGGAATCCTGGAGCGACTGTGAGTGTGGATCTAGCACTACACGTCAGCGTACCCGTACCTGTACCAACCCTCCACCACTAGGCAATGGTGCTGACTGCGTCGGCTCGCCTACGCAGACCGAAGATTGTGTCCTGGCACCCTGTCCCAGCGGTAAGGGCCACATGACTGGATAATCACAATCAGGGCTACAGTCAACTTCGCTAATAACGACTGCGGATATAACGACAATTCGCGAATAACGACAGAATTTCCATGTCCAGAGCAAAGTCCCATCCAACTGTAATACATATAATGAGACTTCGGGTATAACGACACTTCGCGAATAAGGACACTTTTCTGATGCCCCGCCGAGTGTCGTTAAACGCGAAGTTGACTGTAGTTGGGGCAGCTGGAAGGAGTGTTCTACGGGCCTAAGTGTACAGCGTGGCTGTACTGTAACTATTCACTACAGAGTGGCATGTGATATTATTACAGATGCTGAGACACGCATTCACGTGAGCCCTGGCTTTGCGGGTTTTGTCCCGTTTACCGCGACACCAGTAACCAAGCTATCGTTTGTTTCTCTCGTCCGGCAGGTGTAAACTGTGATAAAGTGATCAAGTTTTAATATGCTCTAGAGTCTATACACAAGGATCTGGTGAAGTGGAATATCATCGCACAAACAATACAGCTACGTGCATTGTTTTGCGTGCATATGTATGAACCCATTGAACCTTTGGTTTTCACTAGTCTCTTTGCTATAATATGTTTGTCCATTTTTGCCTGTGTGTGTTTGTGCGTGCATGCGCTATTGTGGTTGTGGTTGTGGTTGCCCAACTCTATTGTTTTCAGGTAGCCAGTGGAGGTCAGGTCGAGGTGACTTCACAGCCACACTAGGATCGACAGCACAGGGTATGTGTGTTGGGAACTTGTGAACATGACTAGTACTCATATACAGTCGTCCCTCTCTAATCCGGCACCTTTTGCAACGGCATTTTCTGCTGGATAAACAAGGGTGCTGGATTATCAAATCCTGCCCTCCAACCCGACCCACCTGTTAACATACATGTTTGTGTTGTACATCAAAACGTAGAGATGTTCTGTGTCAATCCAAGTACTTTGTGGAATGCATGTCTTTAACATACACTTGGGAATATCCTATGCACTGGCATACGATATTCCCTAGTGTATGTTACATGTGTTGTGTATGTTGCAATGCTCCCTGACGGTATGCGATGTACAACTGCTGGATTAGAAAATCGAATTATGTACAGTTTGAGTGATTTGTTGCAGAAAATCGCTGCTGGAAGCAGAATTCAAGTGCCGGATTAAAGCGTAGAGAATGAACTGAAAAAATCGGTTTGGCCAGAAAGTGTGCTGCATGGTTTGCAAGGGTGCTGGATAAACAAGTGCCGGATTAGAGAGGGACGACTGTACATATAGAAGGCTCAGTGCTACCAAGAGTAACGTTGCACAACCACGAGTATCCCACCTCCTACAATGCTTCAGAAGTAGATAACAGCGTGTGAGATCGACAGCAAAAAGGTGTGCTGTGCAAAATGATGTCAAGAAAGTATATAAACAACTGAGTAGACTTTAAAGTCTGATCGGTTCCTCGGCAGGAAAGTTGCTCATTATTCAGGTCCAGCACCTGAGCAATTATTAGTACCAAGAGTACATAACTCCCCAAGAGTGTGCAACTCCCACATACCCTGCTGTCCTGACAGAATTTCAAGTCGACGTCATTATTGATGCAATGCTCCTTGCACGAGTGATTTGCAACATGTGTACGGGTGTCAACGCATCACACGTTTTTCTTTGTAATAATTTGCACCGGATCAGATGGACTTTGGTCCAGCACAGGTTCCGGATTCGTCTGATAATCCGTGTGCAGTGCGCATAGCATCATAAAAATGATGTCAACTTGAAATTCTGTCGGGACAGCACAGTACCCATAGTCGACTTGCACACTCTCGGGGGGGGGGGGGGGGATGTACACTTGTTAGTACCCGCAGCCATATGGATTTCAGCGCGCACACAAGCAAGAATATTATGTGTATGCGGGGCACTGAAGGTGGACCTGTTCTCATTGTGCTGTTGAATTTCAGATACGATAATCCGACCTGATATAGCCCTGGACTTTGTATCTGGAAATCAGATTCGCTTGGCCATACCAGGCTTGACGGCTGCGCAGAACGAGAAGCTGCGATTCTTCCAGGCACAGCTGCTCATGCCACTGGTGTTCCTACGCTCTCGTGTTGAGGCCACAGCTATGAACGGTGCCAGCATGCACCAAGGATACGCAAAGCACGTCATGTTTGCACGGTTTGACACGGGTCAGGCGGCCACAATCAACACCACCATCACAACTAGCCAAAGTGGATTTGTCAGACTGTCAATCAGCATTGATGGGCAGGCACCCGAGGGCCTAGCGCCGTTTCCTATCCGCGGCTTCTCAGGTAACGAACAGCATGCCCGCTATTCCCCCTCCGAGTGGGTGTTCCTCAGCGAACGTGCACGCTATCAACTTACCTCAAGGTACATTGGTGTGCAGTGGAGTCAGCGAATGGAATGCCAGCGAGCCGACGGTTCACCTGCCACGTGTCAACAACTAACCAATCGTCAGCAAGTGTTTGGCGTCACACGGCAAATGACCAGTAGTTTTAATCCAAGTACTGGCCTCTTCCTAGCTACCACTCCTATGAATAGTCGAATATTCCCAGGTAAGTTATTGTGGGACGTATTGTGTTGTATATTGTGTTGTATATTGGTGGATTTTGAGTCTGGAAAGAGAAAAAAAACGGTAGGAGTTCATGCATGAATTGAGGTGCTGAGTGAGAAGCAGTATGAAAGAGAGTGATATTTAAAGACAAGTGTGGATTGCTCAGTAAGTATAATTATATCGTACTAACGTTGTCGGTCCTCTCCAGTGCGCGCAGACAAGTGCAGCTGTGCTGATTTCAAGGCAGTGACCATATAACTGCGTTTGTGTTGAACTCATTGCATGAAAGCGCACCATCACCTTCAGGACCGGCGAAAGACGTTTTCGAGTACTCTGGCCCTACCCTAGTCTTTCATACTCTGTGTATGATCGGGCGTGTGCACACATGATCTCCTGAGTTCTAAACACACGCTGGTAGCCAGAGTTGGTGCGGGCATGGCCCTATCATACTCATGCTCCTGCCCATCGCTGAACCGATGATAGCAAACAAGCTATGTTAACTTAGTTGGGATGACAGCATTCAACAGCTTGCTAGGCTGATGTCTTGATCACCATAGTCAGGGCGTATCAACCGGGCCAACCCTGCCATGCCTGACCTGACAGTGGCTAACACCCTACTGTGAATGTCCAAGACTTCCTAAAACTCAATTGGGCTGATTACATTTGACCCGATTGCTAAGCAGTCACAACCTCATCGGTAGGAATTCCAATGCTTGCATGTATGTATGTATCGTGTTCATGCAGTTCCTGGTGCTGTGTGTCCGTCCGGGCTAGAGACGTCCAGTGATGGCCGATATTGCATTGGTGAGTCCTACCACGGTGTTCGTATGTAAACAGAGCCTGAAAGTACAATACGTACATGTATGTGCTGGTCATTGAGAAATGAGAATTCCTTTGTTGTCCAACTCTGATTGAACATGAAAACGATGTTCAAATCATAAAAAAATATTGTTCTATTGTTCTATTGTTCTATTGTTCTATTGTTCCCCATTGTTCCCCATTGTTTTCGTGGGATGAGTGTGCTCACTTTACTTTCATCGGTAAAATGAAAAAAAGTATTTTAATAGGAGTTTCGCAATATTGATAATTTTGGTGAGAAACTCTGTATCTGATCCTGCACTGAAATGAAGTCCTTCCGCTCCGTATCCGCTCTCGCATTGATATGACGTTTTCAGTTTCATGCCAGTTCCTACCTGGGCCTTGCCATGTCCATTGTAACTGTTGCACTTTTATTGTCTGACTTATGCAACTGTAAAGCCATGGTGCATGTCAGAAGTTGATGAAAGAGGATTGCAGTATTGCGTTGGCTTCGAATCTGACTCTCTCTGTGTGGTTATTCTTGGTATTTCACAATGCAGATGGCGACAACTGCAGAGAGCGACGCTGTCCCTCATCAACATCCTGTGTGGATGTACTTGGCTTTTCCTACTGTGTGTAGTAGTCACTGATGCTAGAACATAATAATATCTGGCCTGAGTTTCCACATTGCTCCGCTCCCAGGTCAACATTGTTGGCCTTGCAGCCACTCTATCTATTCTTTCATGCGTCCACAAACTTGACAGGCCATGGCTTGCTGATCGAGGCAATCACGTCATTCATCACATCTTTGCCCAAAACCCAGCGCAGCGTGCGCCCCAGATTTGAACTTATTGCTAACAAGCACTCACAGTTTCTGGACACCATGATTGCCCCATGGGTCGGTCCGTGTCATGCCAGTTACTACCCGTGTTATTTTTGTTTGCCTTACATGCAATACATTCAGCAAGTGATGAAGAGAGCAGCTGTCACTCTATCTGCTTGCGTGTCTCTATTAGTTCACAAGTCCAGAAAAACATACAGATTAGCCAGTAGTATGAATACTGTATTTTAGGCTTGAAAACATACTTTGTATTACTACGTAACTACACTGTTGTTATTCCTGACAAGTACCGGTGCACAAGCCTGGAAAATAGATTGGGATTTTAAAAGATATAGAGAAACAATGAATACTACTTGTACTTGCATGTCCAATAATTGAATTTGATACAATAATACTATAATGCTGATTCAATCTGTCTGCCTAAAGGATAAAATTGAAAATGCTGGCGTGCAGTGAGATAGCAATTTTGATGGCAATATGAACACAGCACCAGGCTGGCCCTTCTCAAAGTCTCAAGATCAGTTTTATCTCAGACTGACTGTAAAGCTACACTCCACAAGAAGAGTCCTGAGCTCGAGGCACTGATCAGCCGATGGTGGGGAACGGAGGCAGACGGTAGAATGCTCGACTCTACAGCGATATTGTGATGTCTGTCCGTTGGTGTCACAAAGCTTAGAGAGGTGATACCGCTGCAGCCAGTGACTGTGTCTTGAAAGGCACCCGTAGCGAGGGAAACACATCGAATCACTCCCTCTGTGCATGGCCAGAGCAACCAAACACACAGCACATGTGTGGTCAGCTGCATGTCACATTATGATTAGCACCTTATCGCTGTAATACACACATGTCGTTTTGCAGATTCACTCAGTCACTCACTGATTTAAGGCTTGCAAAACTGGGTTAATTGAATTTTCACCACAATACGCTGGCTCAGGACCAGTTGTGAGGTGTATGTCACAAATCATGCACACATATTGATTATCCTAGCTTGGTTTCCATGGAAACAACATAATTATGCAGCAGCAACAAGACCATGACAAAGAAGTGCCTCACCCCTGGAACCGAGAAAACAGCATCCGGTTTCGCTAGAGACGGCCATGCAAGACGACCAAGTAGAGAGTGAGATTTCCTTGACAACCTGCCAATGCAGTAAAAGCAGCAACCATGCAAGCATGTGGGTACACACACGCACACACACGCACACACACGTGCACGGATTGCACACGCACAAAGTTGCACAAGCACACACAAACACACAGGGTCAACGGAAGTTGAATAATGGTGAACCTTGCGGTCATCGTCATTGCAAATGATCACTAGACTACTTTATTGCAGCAATGCACACACACACACACAAACACACACACACACGCGCACACACACACACACACAAACACACACACACGCGCACACACACACACACACACAAACACACACGCACACACGCACACACACACACACACACACACACACACACACACACGCGCACACACACACACACGCGCACACACACACACACACAAACGCACACACACACACACGCACACGCACACAAACACACACACACACACGCGCACACACACACACGCGCACACACACACACACACACACGCACACACACACGCACACGCACGCACACACACGCACACACACACACACACACACACACACGTACCTGCTTGGTGTTCAAACTATAGATGTTGAGGGTGTTATGCAGAGAGAAGCCGGTGTAAATGATGAGGCCTCCGTCAGTCGGGCTGAATCGGGCCAGTGTCGGTGGAAAGCTACAGTATTCACTCTGGGGAAGGAAATCACATACACACACACACACATACACACACAAACCAAGAAGTGTATTATATATGCATGATATCCTGTGCTAACACAACGTAATCTGCATGACTGGGTAATACCTGAGTAATACCATGGCTGGGCAATACCTTGTAGGGGACTTTTGCTAGTACCCATTCCCTGGGCGGAAACACTGTGCCCATGTATGCGCGACTTCGTTTCTTAGAGATATGGAAAAGAAAGATAGTAGCCCAGGGTAGTTTGGGAGGTGCAGGGTGTGTGCGTGGGGTGGGGGGGGGGGGGGGGGGGGGGTGCTGACCTTAGCCACACGCTCCTCAATGCAGTATTTGTATACGAGTTGTATTCCTAGTAGACGGTGTTCATTCAAGCGAGGATATTCAGTTGTCTTACCGTGTCATACATTCGATGTGGCCAACGTCCAGACAGGCGATTCTCAGTGGGTGTTGGGAATGTTAACCAGTCTATGAGATCACAGCGGTCTCTCTTCCAGTCACATGACCATACACTGATGCGGCCATTGACACTGGCTGCAAGCCACAGTCCAGCCAGTGGTGCTGAAGCTGCAGCTGCAGCAGCGGTTGAGGGAACATTGCCAGTTCGATGCGGTATTGCCTGTAAAGGATCATAATATGTATGCACAAATGTAAGCATGTGCGCACGCACGCGCGTACGCGTACACACACGCAGATACATACACGCATACACATGCCCACACACACCACACAAATACACACACAAACTGGAACACATGCATAGACCTTCCTTCCTTCTTCCATTACCATAACTAACTAATAACTGCTATGTGGCCACGTAAGGGGGAGACAATGAGGCGTGTTGTCCACCGGGCGGGGAATGTCAGACTCGGTGCGCGTTGAATGCACGAACAGTGTATACACAAACACACACGCGCACACAGATTGCACGGTATCGGTGCAGTATGGCAGGTGTTCAGGTGACTGTAGGATCCTGCAAGGGTCTAGGCCGTTCCTGCTGAGCCTGTGTAAAGTAAGACTCAAGAGCCAGACTAAGGATGCAGTACCCATTTATATGATTATGATATGATATTATCGTGTGGAATGAGAGAGCCAGTTACCGGGATTGGACTCACAGTGATAGCAAGGTTGGCAGGTGCCACATCAACATCACTGATCGGTGCTGAGCCATGCTGTGTCAAACGTCTGACAGTCATTCCCGTCACCGAGTTACTGATCAGCAGCTGACCAGACACATCTCCAGAGATGATCACACTACCTACAAGAGGACACGCATGATGAACACGTACACAATCTTTTCCAAGCTCACAACGTTTCTCACCTAGCTAACTGAACAAAGATGCGGCACTGAATCAATGGGTGTCCTTTGAAATGCAGTGCTGCTTGTTCGAAATCCGATCAAGTGAGTCAATGCCACGTCGGGCGCTGTGTAGCCCTCGCCGGGTTGCGCACTGGAGCAGAAATTAAATTCGACTCACACAATCGAGTTTCATTGAGCACCACTGTACAAACTGCAGACATACATGCACGAATGCATGTATGCACACACAGGGCCTTCAGTCATTCGGATTTCTAAAGTCCCTTGGACAGATTCACAAGAGAAATCCTTGAGATTCATGCACATGCATCTTCCAGAGTGTATACTATGACTGTGTTGCATGTGTGTTTACGTACCATCAGCCGCCATACGGGCACAGGAAACTGATGACGTGTGTGGTGATGTTTTCAACTGCAAGTGCTGTTGCTGCAAGTCAAACAGACGCAGGCTGCCATCCTCATATCCACATACACACGGTGGCATAGAGTCAATTGAAGATGGATCACAATCGTTGTTGCCACTGCCTTCACGAGTCGAAACAAGCGGATCACGTTGCAGATTCGAGGCTTGTTCAGCACCGTTACTGTTTTTGCCACTGCGACCCTTGTGTTCTGATGATCGGTCTCTGGACTGTTCTTCGGCGGTAGAGCTAGTAGTCGTAGGTAGAATTGCTATGTTGGAATGCTGCTGTTTCTGTGGCATGGCATGATCTGGCCCGAATGCCAGTGACGTGCAGGCCTGGATAGTCACACATTGGACAAGAATGCATCACTATAAAACATGCCCTGTTGAAAGCACTGCTTTGTTGATTGGAAATATGTCATTAAAACCAAGGAACAGATGCTTTGGACTACCAGGGTAGCATGGCAATTGAGCGATTACGCCCTCTTCTCGACAAACCGAGTTCGGAAATGACACCCTCGTTTCTGGCCATCTTCATCTGGTCACTGAACATAGTGGCGATGACAAGGGAAGGATAAAGGTGGTTGTAGAGTACATAGGCTAGCCACTCATGATACTTGAATAATACACGTGAAAACTAAAAGGATTGTGAGAAAAGGTCTACAAGGCTATTCCTGTCAGATTCCCAACGAATATGCCTTTTCCCCCGTAGAGACTCTAGCATGCTGCCGTCAGCGTCCAGCTGTCCTAGGAAGCATGAAACGCATACCTTTTCTTCATCGCCGTACAGTTTTAGGAGAAGCTCTCTTTCCTTTGTCATCCACACGCGCAGGCAGCCATCACTAGCCGAGGTGGCAAAGCAGGAATGAGAAGAGGGCCAAGTGCCGACACTGGTCACCTGTTTTTGCACACAGAAATAAACAGAGATTAACAGTATGAAAACTCCTCGAAGATTGTTTGTAAGTGATGGTCAGAGTTCATGTTAGACTAGAATGTAACTGATGTATCCTGTAGCCAAGACATAGCTCTATTACAGAGCCGACATTGATGAAAGGGCAAAGGTCATTGCATGCTTCACCTAACACAGAGGTTAATGCATTGAGATCTGAGCATTCCTGCCATTTGGCTCTGCAGCGACAATTATTCCATTTTGGGCATAGCTAGTCAGACAGTATCTACGGTTGAAGCCGATTTGCTCGCTGAACCAATTGGCGGAACGACCAATACATCAGTCCTTTCGTCCAGAGCACGAATCCGAAATTCCATTTGCAGAGCTGATCAACTAAGTGAGAGTTGATTTTCAAGTTCCTACCTGATCTGAGTGGCCACTGAGCAGTCTCAGAGTTGACATTCCAGTCCAATTGACACACCATACTGTAGAAGACGATGTTGCTACCAACCCCTAAATGAGAAGAAAATTGAAAGTTCGTTAGCAAACCGTGGTATATCCTTTTTCTACTTCAAGTAATTCTTTCGGAAACAGCCCAGCATGTGTTGAAATTGGGTGGCCGATTTCGACGACAATTTCCACAGGTTATACAATGTTACGAGAAGAAGAAAAATTGGTCCATTGAGTCGGTCTCTGTGACCGGAACGCTATCAGGAAGCACAGAAAAAAATTCTAAGTTAGGCCATGGTAAAAAATAAAGTTGATTCTCAGGTCATGAGCCTGTGAAAATCGGTGCGAGCGAGCGATTTTTTATTTTATTTCCCACAATATTTTTATTTCCAAAGATAGTGTCACACATATGTACATGGTCACTTGTTCATATATTCAGGCCAGGGAGTAGAAAAATACCGGTATTTTACTACTCCCTGTTTCATGCCTTTCGCATTGACCGTTTTCATGCGTGCATATGCATGCATAGAATTTAAAAAATTCGTCGGTGCGCCGCCGAAAATCGGTGCGCGCGTACTTGAGAATCAAAGATAATTTTACCATGGCCTTAGTCTACGCTATTTTCTCTTATTCCCTTCAAACACAACTGTACAGTAGACTATAGCATTGTCGGGCATCAAAGAACGGAGTGCCGAAGAACGGAGTGCCGAAGAACGAACAGGCTAGAATTTTACCAAGCACAGCATATCAATGTATACACGGTAACTCAACGGTGCATAGACTGTAATACATGAAAATAAGAACGGTCTGGGCTATGAAACTGAAGCTTGTCAGGCAGAAAGAAAGGTTTGTGGAGTGACCAGAAAGACCGAAAGGTGATGAGAAGTTGTTAGGTCCGCGACTTTTCTTTTGCTCGACTTCACCGCACTTTTTGATCGATTTGATAATTTAAACGCAAGGGATATTTTCGCTGATCCGGGTTCGCATATCAAGGAACCAATGGCAGTCCTCCATTTGCGATGTTTGTTTATATTAGGCCACGCCGTTTTTTTTTCTATGTTTCGCGTCACCTTATTCGATGAAATCAATGAGGGAGGGCGAAAAAAATAAAAAAGCCATCCAAAAAAGAAATGTACGTGCATTGCATTTGTGTACAGTGAAGCGACGCGGCACTGTTCATGTACAGACATGTACAATGTACGTGTACATGAATACATGAGTGTATCCCCTCTGCCATACTTGTGGTCCAAACACAGGCGGCATGATGATTGTGTGACTTGCGGTCCAGCTTATTGCACACAGATGTACAATGTACCAGGTACATGTGTGTGAGCTGAGTTACATTTTCTGGTTTTCTGGGTTTGCATTAAATTTGTATTGCATTTTCAAAAAAAAATTTTTTTTTTTTTTTAACTCCGGCTGTGAAATACATGTGCACGGGGGACGCGAAACAGAGATAAAAACGGTGTGGCCTTACCGCTATAGTTGGAGATGATTGACTCTTACCAGTGAGAGGTCAGCATTGAAAACAGCACTAACAACAGCTCCGTCGACTGCTAGTTCATCATCCACACTGATTTGACATGAGCTAGGGGCACTGCATTGGGATCAGTGGCAAATCAACACAAGTGTTTTCATGACTTAGCTTCCTTCTTAGGATGACAAATGATAGCTAAGTGATACATTTCCACTACACTCAGACAGTGTATGCTCAAAGGAACATGTTACATGATGTACCTGCCATCAGCTGAAGATTCCAGCAACTCTGCTAAGCCTTCAATTGACCACTTCTTCAACAGGCCAGTCACACTCGATGAAATGAGATGCCTGCCATTGGAGAAGAGATAAGCTGCACAGAAGCAATTGATGCACATTCACTAGCAAGGTTGATCACAATAGCAGTAACATGTTCTGAGTCCCATACACTGTCTGGCACTCACTGACTATAGAAGACCAATACATCCAATAATGATATGAACAGTGATTTCATAAAGAGATTGCTGTGTCTCTAACAGCAGTGAGGAAGTGATTTTTCACAACATGTGAATGTGGATATTGATAGCAAAGGCAAAGAAAGCAGAGTGACATGAATCCACAGGGAACCTGATGGTAGAGTAGAGGTGAATGCCTAGTCCAGGACCACACACCGTACAGTCTATACATGGGTACACATACCAGGTAGCACACATACGGGTGGAGGATTCAAAACCGCTCCGTGATCTAATGACCGCTCCATGATCTCACGACCCGGATCTCACGACCCGGATCTCACGACCCGGATCTCACGGCCATCATCTCACGGCCATAATCTCATGGCCATCATCTCACGGCCATCATCTCATGGCCATCATCTCACGGCCATCATATCACAACCATCATCTCACGACTCCCTCAGAATATGCCTTAGATGAAGAGATGAAATCCATCATCAGAACGAGAACAGCTGTAAGGACTTACTCAGCTCGGAATGATCAGCTTGCCATTGAGCAAAGCACGTGTTCTTGTCGGTGTCCCAAGCAGAAAGCACGCCTAGAAATGAACAGGATTATATTGCAAAACATATCGGTCTAGATCGAGAAACCAAATTATTGCTATTCTTGAACCACAGGGCAAAACAACAAAGACCAATATCTTTCTCGTGACTGAGTAATTATTAGGACACATAAAGAGCGTATTGCTTCGGTTTCTTGAGAATCAAAACACATCACCATGGTATTGCCTAAGAAACGATAGCCTAGACTATGAAAGCCTAGACATAGTAGGGTGGAACTACTTGTACATGTGGTGGAACTACACTACACACTAACACCGTTCACCCTTATAGCCTGCAAGGCCATATTGGTCCAGTCTCAACTGTTGCAGCTCAAATCACACTGCAGTGTGTGTGTGTGTGTGTGTGTGTGTGTGTGTGTGTGTGTGTGTGTGTGTGTGTGTGTGTGTGTGTGTGTGTGTTGCTGTTTTTTTTATTAAGCGCGCCCATAAACTGGGCAGATATGTCTGCTTCCCAGTACATCCCATTTGTGAAGCCAACCCTATGGTAGTAAGTCGTCGTTACCTGTACTGCTGCCCACTAGCAGGACCTGCGTAGTGGCGTAGACGGCACAAGTCATTTGACTTGTTTGCTGGCCATCCACTGCGGTGGCAGGCTGGCCAACAGCGGGTACTAAAGTAGAGTGCACCTGAACAACAGTGGAACAAAATTAGAAACAACAAAACGACACCAACAACCATGAAACAACACCGGAGATAAAAACAGCAACAATAAAAGCAGGAGCAAAACCAGTAGCAGAACTCGAGACAAGGATTTCCACAGAAAGTATGAAATCTGGTGAGATAATTGCGCATCCAACAATTTAGACAAATAGTTTTTCAAACCATGCGACCAAGGAATACATGCGGTCAGCAACGACACAAGGAGTACATGCAATGGCGTACCTTCAGAGCTGTGGAGACATTGCTACTGTCCGTCTCATCATCATCATCACCACCATCGTCACCACCACCGCCGCTGCCATCAATCATCCAGAAATGTACCTGCCCCTGATCGCCCACTGACACCAGCTCTCCAGGACGAAACGGATCCCAAACAATGTCATGCATGGATATGCCAAGGTTTGCTGTGGTCAGCGGAGTGTACTTCTGTGTCTCCCAGATTACTACCAACGGCTCTTCGTAGCAACCTGCACAGGATAGTGTCACATCAGCCATGTATACGCAGAGGCCTAGCCAAAGCCGGCTCAGCCGGCAGAATGCCGGCTGGGAGGGCGACCTGCCGGCTGAGACAGCTCCAAGGGTTATTTTGGCCGGCTGGCAAACAATTGAGATTTAGAGAAATTTTCAGTTTCTACAAGTACAAGTATTTGTAGCACGGCGCTGTGTTCGAGGATCATTTTTCTTTCAATCATGTCACCAAGCCACTATCCTCCGCCAAGGTAAGAGTCGACTACTGTCATCTGTCGAAAATAGGTCCAGTTTCTGCCACTACAATGTCCCAATAATCGTGGAAACAGAACAGGACGACCGGCACAGCGGCAGCGAAAACTACTTCCACTGAACTGGCACTGGCACTGTACTAGTAGTAGGGCGTACTGGCATGCACTCCACTCTTGAGGTCACACAGTCACCCACTTGAGGTCAAGCATGTAGACTGAGTCTGTACTGTAGTGCACTGCACTAGCACTTGAGTCAGTAGATCACATGCAGCTGGCTACTCAGGCTCAGTGCTAGCTCTTCACTCAGCTCAAATGCACTTGAGAAGTTGAGTATGCACTTGAGTACGTTACATGTAAAGTCGTTGTGTGCAGAGTGCCAGTAAAATGTAACAGGCGCTAGGTCGGGTCATGGTTCGCTGCTTCCTGTGGCTACACGGCTGTGACACTGACAGCTAGCTACAGACTCTGGACTGTTATATCGTGGGCCATTCGTGCCTAGGCTGGGTCTTGTGCATGCTGCATTTCGGAATACGTTTTCTTCACCGTAATGTGTTGCATTTATCACTTTAATCTCAGTAACTGATGACCAGTTTTGCACCAATGTTTACTGCCTTTCTTTGTTGTGCAAGTCAGATGACCAATGTACACTGCATGCAGGCATGACGTTGGTGAACACATGATCCATGCTGATGTAGCTGTTTGCTTCCTTTTTCATATTTTGTTAATTATTTACCTATAATCACATTGTCACAACTGCCTGATGAATGTCCATAGTTGGACGAAGCGAAAGGAGATGCAAGCTGCAAGGAAAGATTTGGAGTGGTGTGTGTGTGTGTGTGTGTGTGTGTGTGTCTGTGTGAATATGTAACTGATTGCGGGGGTCTGGGGGCGCAGCCCCCAGAACGATGCATTTTCACTAGAACGTTGGCCGGCTGGCATAAAATCCTGGCTAGACCTCTGTATACGAGTAGTTGAAATTGAAAAACATGGGCCTCTAGAGTCAGAGTTACATAGAGTGCTAAACACCTGCAGCAACACCAACACCCTCAATGAACAAGCGTCAACTCCATCTTACCTAAACTAACTAGCATAGAGTCATCGGGGGAATAGCGAACAGCTTGGATGTTCCGCTCGTGTAACGCCAAGATCTGCAGAAAAAGCACAGGGAAGCTGTCAATTATCACGGTCACCGGTGTATGTTTGTGTCTATGTGTGTGTGTGTGTGTGTCTGTCTGTCTGTGTGTGTGTATGTGTGTGTGTGTGTGTGTGTGTGTGTGTGTGTGTGTGTGTGTGTGTATGTATGTATGGTAGATGGCGTGCGCTTGTGTGTGAATGTGTGTGTGTGAAGGGGGGGGGGGGGAGCGAGGAGGGAAAAGCATGTTGTCACTACTATGTTCAAGCCATGTATCCTGGTATGAGGCTCCGCGGCCTCTGTCCCTGCAAAGAGAAAACGGTCTGTTTTGCACTTGCAACAGCTGAACTTCTACGCCCTGTCATCAATTAGCCAAAACACAACCCCCACCCCTACCTGCCAGTAGTATAACTGACAAACGTTCTCGGTTACAAAGGAGTCTGCTCATTGGATCACCAATGATAGTAGGTATGACTCTCTATACAGGCCGGAACATCAAAGGAGCACCCGCCATCCAGACCACACATACCTTAGTACACTGAAATGTTGCTGTGTTCCACAGACACAGTCGGCTGTTCTCCAAGCCACTTGCTCCGCTGGCCGATACCAAAACCTGCAAGAGACGCACGTCAACAAAGTGAAGAAAAAAGAAGATTCCACTCTTTCAGGTTTGACCCAGAATAATTGTAAATAAACTTGGCACTCAGTAGAGTATTGCCCACTGCACTATTCATCCTCTTCAAAGCAGTTATGAGCTCATGTCAAACAAGAACAAGCAGCTGCATTTGGCCTTGTACTGGTTTTCCATCAACCATCACACCATAATTGCGCTCTCCAGCCAGCCGCGACACATTGCCACAGCTAACTATCAGCAAAGTTACACATCCATTAGTACTCAGTTCCTTCAGACAGCTGTGTAGAGCATAAAGCTCTCGTCAGTGAAGGTTGATTTGTACACTGGCTAAGGGGCCTTTTATGTGTGCAACTCCAGCCCGGGCTGGAGCGAGCGGGCCAGCCCGCCAAGGGTGTTTACATGTGCAAGGCCGGGCTGGTCGCCAGCCTGCAGTGAGTTTATATGCGCTGAGCACACGCCAGCCCGTTGTGAGTATGCAGCAAACACACTACGACTGTAATGCGCTGCCCTGGGCTGAGACGCAGGACTGCAAGCCATACTCAGGTTATAAACATAAAAACTTTTTTTCTCACACAATGTATTCTTCTGCTGATTTCTTTTCGCGCTGTGACACATGTTTGGTGTGTTGTATCACCTCGTTTCTTTTTCCTGTTTTTCACTTTTTTAGCTGTCCATATCAAAGTATTGTGCAAGTAGTTCCCCTTTCATTTTTAATGTGAATCATGCATGTCGACAAATAAACAGTGCTCACTGCACGTCCTTCTTGTTGCTGTACAAAAAGCTTCCTAGATTTTCAAGACAATATCGGGAATCCTCTTTATAAATGTAACTGCCCTCAAGAGGTAAAAGTACCTATTTTGTAGTATGAACGCAGTGTCGATACCATAATAATACAACTCTGGCCCGGGCTGGTCTGTTTATATGTGCTTTTTCTGGCCCGCCTAGCCGGGATCCCGGGTGCCTTGAGGCGGGATCCCGCCTCGCCGGGCCAGCCCGCTTGCCATGTAAACGCACCACAGGTTTTGTGTGGATTTGTGTATAACCCCGAGATCCCGTTGCAGGCGGGCTGGCCCGCCTGTCGACCAGCCCGGGCTGGAGCTGCACATATAAACACCCCCTTAGAGATGAGAAAAATCATCCTTTTGTACCAAAAGGGGAAGCATAATCGGCACAAAGATTAGGGCCAGGCAAAAATAATCCGGTGCAAACACTGTGAAACACTAAACTGGGTATGGTAATATGACATGATAGTGCTAATAGCCAGGTGTGAACTCGATAGACCGTTTATATTTTCACACCATTTTGCACTTGGTTCCTTTGCTTAGCCCCGATCTTCGCACCTTAGGCGTTTTCTAATCGATAGCGCTCGCCTTCCCCTCTTTGAAATAATCACTTCATGAACCTTCCCATTTTGAAGGCCGTTGGTTAGCGCTATCGAGCAGTGCTCAAGCTCACTTTCACGCCGTGGAATGTCTCAGCATCCCTTGTCAGTCCGGTGCTAAAATGTGCACGTTTGGCTGTTCAAGATCTGGTCTAGTTGGTGGACTCACAGCTTGTGCCTCACTGTTTCCCATGTTTTCAATTTAATATTCCTTGGCCCACCATCTGAGTTCTCAGATCGATTCTTGCCCATTTTCAACCAGCACCCCACCCTAAACCGTTAGAACTTCGAAGAAAACCTCAGTGCCTTTACGCCTCCTGTTGAACATTGTCTGTTGCCTGAGCTGACCTTTCTTTCTAAACAGGTCAAGTTCTTTACTTTATTTACTTGGGATCAACACTGCACTTGACTAGAAGATACAAATAATAAAAGAAAACATGAAACGTTTCAAATAATACAAAATCAATAACCTTCTTCAGACACACTCTCACCTTGCCATCGTGTCGTAAGCACATAGTGGACACTTCGGTCAAGTGGCCTGGACAACATGAAGCCAGTAAAACATAACAGAGCTCTAAATAGAGGGGTAAGCGACAGCAATTGACCCTGTGCAGATATTCCATCAGCTGCCACACCATAACCGCGCTCCCCAGCCGACCTCTACACGTTGCCACAGCACACCTTCAGCAAAGAGACACATCCATTGGAACTGAATTCCTTCATACAGTGGCAACGTGGCAACAGTTTCGAGGTCGAGGTCGGCTGGAGAGTCCAGTTACCGTGTGGCAGCTGATGAAAAAAAAACACATAGCTCTGTTTAAAAAACAACACTGGTCAATGATGTCAGTATCAAAATGACGCAACTGTGGCAACATTCTACTACCAACATACACACAAATCAAAATTAATGCCAAGCCAAAGGTGATATGCTCCTTGTTTATCTGCGGATTTTATGTCTGGGTCTCGACTACAAAAACATGAGTTACCTGCGGATTGCCTACAGTGTGAACTCGAGTTGCAACTATACTCTTCCCCTTTCCCCAATGCGTGTACGGACTCCACCAAATGATTTTTTTAAAGTACTCTTCTTTTGGTGGTGGGGGGTGGGGGGGGGGGGGGGGGCTTTGCGTACGTGAACACGAAAACAGTAATCTTATCACTGCATGCATGATGATGAACGTATTCCTCAAAACCCCGGTTTTATTCATTCAATGTTTCCGTCTATGATCATCATTCAACGTACGATTACACTTGAGTATAAAGCTCTATCTCAGGAAGTCTGTGCTTTACAGCAAAGGTCGCTGGTATCCATGCTACAATGACAATGAGGAATAGACAGGGCTCAAGAACACGATAATAAGCATTAAATAGCATGCATACATAATCATTGCCCTTCATGCTCACCTCTTAGGAATTGCTGACTGCCATCGGACAGGTCCTCCAATATCACAACAGAGTCGACAGAATATGCTATCTGACCTACACCGGCCCCGGGGGACAACATATCCAGAGAATGTAAAGCATCATCATCCCTTATTCTTTATCCAACAGTCATGAACAATGTACATGTGTGGGCATGTGAGCGAGGGTGGGGGCGTACGACTAGCAGAAGGCTCCTGGTCATCTAAACAGACCCTCCTGTTGTATGAGAAGAGGAACCCTGCAATTGATTACATCATGAATTCATCAAGAATGTGTACACTGTCATTGTGTCAGTGATAATATTGGAGAAGTCTGGGATCAGTATAGGAGAAACGTCGACAGTGTGACTGATATCGGGTTAGGGGGTTAGAATTAGAGTTTTGCCTGGTGCAGGTTATGAATTAGACCGTTGACTGTTAGCAAGGTCTTACAGGTATCCGGTCAACGGTACATAAATTGGCCTTCTCCCACAAATACCATTCGACTCACTGCCCAGAAGTCTAGAGAATCTTACATAGTTATTCTATGCCGAAGTTCGCCTATGATTTATAAAGCACCTACAGTAGGGATATCAGCGAACACACTGCGCAGAGGGTTTGCGCAGTTATGATGTAATCGAATTTTGTACATGTCAACATGCCACGCGCGCGGCCAGAAAAGTCCAAGTCAGAAAATGAATATTTTTGCCGGGAAACTGGAAGGAGTCTTGATGGAGAAGAAGGAGAATGGCGGCTGAAGTCGGAACCTTGCGCTCAGGATCTGCCGTTTCGTTGATTGCTTCGTATATTCGCTGCTGGTGAAGGATTCGTGGGTAGAGAGTGACATGCCTACGGTAACAGCCACGCGATCAACTACAGATGAGCCGAGCCCCAGGACTTTCTTCAGACGAATTTTCAAATTTGTCCTTCGATGCCCAAGGAGCGTGGGTGAATCGAAGGCGATTTTTTACAACGTTCCCACCGGAGAAATCTTCTAATTTTTGGTGAACTGGTACCTCACCCATGGATCTATCCATGTGCCAAGCAAGAAAAAAATTGACCGAAGCAATGCAAGGTCCCAGAGGTGAAAGGTGCACAAGGTCGATCATTCAGGAAGACTTCAGGAAGATGAAGAAGCTTGGACGATCGACGAACATGGGCCTGTCGTCCTTCACCGATTTTTAATACATGTCTCATTTCTTGTTGGATGAGAGCAACGAAGTAAACAAGAAATGCTGTTCTTTTCGAAACGCGAGTGCACAGTCCAGAGTTCACGGACTGTGCTGGGAGTGTGGTACGCACTGGCTGCACAGTGCGGAGTTGCAGCATGCACATGAAGGTGCATGCTGGTCTGAAGACAGTGTTCTTTTTGTTCTTGCACTGCTGCTGTACAGTTGCGAATTTTCGCTGCGTGGCCGAGTGCTTTTCTCTTCGTTTCTTTAGTGTAATCTGTCTGATCATGCCTGGACGTGGACGATCCTCCACCCCAAGAGGCCGGAGCAGGTCCTCCAGGGGAGGTAGTTTGCCTGCCTCAGCAAGCAGACCTGAAGTAAGCAGCTCCGACAGTGGAGCCGAACCGAACGCCCAACTGCAGGAGCAGCAGTTGAGGATCGGCGCCCTAGAATCGGCGCTGGCCAAGGAACGGTCAAGCCGCCGTCGTCGTCGGTCTCCATCGTCGTCGGCATCATCCTCATCATCATCCTCATCTTCCCCCTGTTCGTCTCCGTCGTCATCCCCGTCTTCATCGTCATCTCCCGAGTCTCGCAGTCGTCGCAAAAAATCAAAAAAGGCCAAAAACTCGAGAAGTCGTTCCGTGTGTCCCCAGTCAACCTCGTCGAGGCGGTGGAAGAACCCCTCGTACGAGAGACAGTACGAGACAAACGCTGCTGTGCTGGAAGAGCTCGGCGAAGTGCGTGCTGCTCTAGGGAAGAGGAAGGTGGACAGGGCAAGGCGAGCCACCAAGCAAGGTGAGAACTTGTTGCGGGATAGGCAAGAGTGGCTGGTTATTGCAGATGCACACGGGCACGAGGCAGCCAAAAAGTTTGCAGAGGGTGGCGAGATGCTGGGGATTGTCGGGTGCCCGCAGAAAAGGAAAAGGCTAATGGCAGCCATCCAGTTCTTTTTGTTCTTGGAGCAGCTGTTGCTGCGACCCTGCAGTTCTATTGTTGTTGTTGTTGTTGTTGTGGTGTGTACGAGAGAGTCGAAAAGAATGTGTGTTTTGTATAAGTTCGTTAGTGTAATTGCTGGCAGAGGATGCCCAAAGTGAGGTGCATGCACAGTAGTCGGACATAATCAGAATCGAAACAATGGGGGTCTGTTCACAGCAGTATGTGTTTTCAAATTATTCAAATAATTATGTAGGTCCGAGCCACGTTCGACCAGTCGCCATTTTATTTGCGTCAATTTTTTGTCCCCGCCAGTACGTACATTGGTATGGTAGCGCTGAAAACTGCGCAAACCCCGTGCGCAGTGTGTTCGCTGATATCCCTACCTACAGTAACTGTCACTTGCCTGCAGTTGGGTTCCATAGCAAGTTACCTCGGCCACTACTGTTGAAGCCAATCACATGCTGCAGTGAGAGTGCTTCATGTGAACCAGCCGGCAAGAATGGCTTCTGCAAATAGAAAGAGAGAAGAAACAGAACATTTCCAACACATTGATATACAAGTACCCAGCGGCAGAGAACGTAGGTGCCAAAACGACTTCACTACACTACACTGCATCAGTTTAGAAAGGTGAGAAGCTCAGCTCCCTATATGGTCAGATCCACTGTCCCACATGGATACAGATACACACACAACCTAGGGGACATAAGAGAGCTACAGAAGAAGCCTAGGCCCCTACTGGTGGATGCACAATAACACACACACACACACACACACACACACACACACACACACACACACACACACACACACACACACACACATACATACATTGTTTGAGAAATAGTACAGGCTTAAACACAGCAAAATGCCTTGCCTCAGTGGGAGACACATGAGCTGCAGGCTTGTGTACAAAGTGTTTCACAACAGATGGTGGGCGCAGCCGTTGGTCAGATTTTTTCTTGCGTTCCATCATCTGAGTCAGAACACACGGTGAAAGAAAAATACAGTGTGGGACAAGGAACAGACTGCACAGAAGCACGCACAGAGCTACTGAACAAAATATCTTATATGTTGACTACCTCACACATAATGATACACGAGGACAGCTTACTTGTACAGACATGCCTTGGATGCCATTTCAGAAATTGCACTGGTTTTCCAACCATTCATGTATTTAGAGAAAAAAAGAACATTTCGAAGCCCATGTACAGGACTGGAGAATGGGGGAATCACGATTTGTCAAAGGCATGCTTATTGAATCGGGTCACACGGACGTGTATATCTCTCTGTGTACCACACTGACCGGTACACTATGACGTACCTGTACAGGAACTGGAAAGTCACTGTCACACTCACTGCTCGCCTCGTCACTGGAACTAACACCATCACCACTGTCACGTGAATCCGACTCAGAGCAGCTGGCGCCGTGTATTTCATCAGCATGCTGTCCCCTTGCATTCGTGGCTGGAGGTTCTTCATTCAGTTTGCAGTGAACAATAGGTACTGGCTGGGAGCCGTCCGTAGCAGTGTCCTCCTCACCTAAGCAGAATGGTGAAAGACATGCATGAAAGTACAAACAGATATGCATATCTCACAAAACATCGAGACAGTTAGCAGTTTTACCCTTTGTAGGTGTCATCAGTGGCAATGAGAGAGGAAAGAGGAGTGACATTACAACTTCAATCCTATATTCCAGCCAAAGGTGATTCAGGTATACATGCAATAATAGCAATCGGGTTGGTGAGGATAGAAAAACCCGACTGTATTGTAAATAAACACACAATTTCACCGCATAGCCTCTCAATATCATTTCCTTTCATCTCACTGTTAGTTACAATGATGATGAAATGTGAAGTGCTTTTGCCAAAAAAGAGGAGCATAATTTGGCTGTTTGCAACCTGAAATTGTTTCCAATTGGGAAACAGAGAGTAGTCTGGATAAAGCCAGAGCAAGCTTGCTCTACTTTAAAAAAATAACTAACCTATCGTGGACGTCTCAAGCTGATCAGCAAGAGTTTCAACGCTCGCAGGCAGTGGCTGAGGTGATAGTGGTTTTCTGGGGTGCTCAGGACCAGTAAACATTGCTGAGCACATAGCAGACGACAAGACAATATGCACCAGAATAAATCACATCCCGAACAGTCCACACAATATCATTAATCTTAGTCTGAATACCTGGTTTTGCAGGTAATGAAGTGGCTGCAATGGAGCTTGCGCACACTAAGAAACTTCTAGTGGATATTGATATTTCAGGAAGAGGAAAGTTCCTGTCATAATATGTTCGAAGTACTGAGTAAGAAATCAAACCTAGAAAACTTCAATAGACGACTACCTTCAGTTGACGATTACACTTATTATGTCGGATCAGTACCATACACACTCAAAAAGCACAAGACCTACCTCGTCCATGCTGCAGACCATCACTTGCACACAAAGCAGGCTGGCGAGCCTGAGATTCCCAGAGAAACACCGAATCACCACAGGTATACAACGTCTTGTTGTCTGCAGCAATCAGCAGTTTGGTAGTGTCTTCTGAATGACCTAGAAACGACTGTAAGAAATCCACAGACAGGGATAGTACAGTAAAAATGGATAAGGTGACCACTTGGATAAGGTGACCACTTGGATAAGGTGACCACTTGGATAAGGTGACCACTTGGATAAGGTGACCACTTGGATAAGGTGACCACTTGGATAAGGTGACCACTTGGATAAGGTGACCACTTGGATAAGGTGACCACTTGGATAAGGTGACCACTTGGATAAGGTGACCACTTGGATAAGGTGACCACTTGGATAAGGTGACCACTTGGATAAGGTGACCACTTGGATAAGGTGACCACTTGGATAAGGTGACCACTTGGATAAGGTGACCACTTGGATAAGGTGACCACTTGGATAAGGTGACCACTTGGATAAGGTGACCACTTGGATAAGGTGACCACTTGGATATGGTGACCACTTGGATAAGGTGACCACTTGGATAAGGTGACCACTTGGATAAGGTGACCACTTGGATAAGGTGACCACTTGGATAAGGTGACCACTTGGATAAGGTGACCACTTGGATAAGGTGACCACTTGGATATGGTGACCACTTGGATAAGGTGACCACTTGGATAAGGTGACCACTTGGATATGGTGACCACTTGGATAAGGTGACCACTTGGATAAGGTGACCACTTGGATAAGGTGACCACTTGGATAAGGTGACCACTTGGATAAGGTGACCACTTGGATAAGGTGACCACTTGGATAAGGTGACCACTTGGATAAGGTGACCACTTGGATAAGGTGACCACTTGGATAAGGTGACCACTTGGATAAGGTGACCACTTGGATAAGGTGACCACTTGGATAAGGTGACCACTTGGATAAGGTGACCACTTGGATAAGGTGACCACTTGGATAAGGTGACCACTTGGATAAGGTGACCACTTGGATAAGGTGACCACTTGGATAAGGTGACCACTTGGATAAGGTGACCACTTGGATAAGGTGACCACTTGGATAAGGTGACCACTTGGATAAGGTGACCACTTGGATAAGGTGACCACTTGGATAAGGTGACCACTTGGATAAGGTGACCACTTGGATAAGGTGACCACCTGTCCTAGAAGACCACTGAGACCACGACCAATGCATGCTATGTCCAGTCGATTGACCCTGGATAAGGAGACCGCCTGGTAACAGAGACCACATTTTGAAGGTCCCTTGCGCGGTCCTCTTAGACAGGTTTCACTGGAACTCACTACAAGATGTGATCAGTGCACAATACTGATTTGGAAATATTTTCACGTAGAGACGTTCAAACTCTCGTGTGCTCTGGATGGCAGTCGTGAGTCAGTCAAGTGTCAAGTTAAGTCAACCGAATAGCGCGAGCTCCGGTGTGGGGAGCGAACACACCTTTCCTATGAGAGGCTTAAATATCGCACAATTATAATTACGTGGATCAACAAATTTTGGCCGGTGAGAAACTTTGGCCGATCTCGAAATGAAACTTTTGGCGGTGAACATACTTTGGCCAATTGGGGTTCAATCATGCATCTTTTGACTCTATGACAAACTTTAGCCTGTGATTTACTTTGGCCAGTTGGCACCAAGTGGTGAAATAAGCGAAATTTAATCGCCAGCGAAAATTTGTTGATTCACAGTAACCTCTGTTGTCATGAAGGACGTAACTAGAGTGAAACAGCTGTCTAAGACGACCGCCAAAGGAACCTTCAAAATGTGATCCTTGTTACCAGGTGGTCTCCTTTTCCAGGGTCATTTGACTGGAAATAGTATCCTTTGGTCCTGGGTTCAGTGGCCTTCTAGGACAGGTGGTCGCCTTATCCAAGTGGTCGCCTTATCCAAGTGGTCGCCTTGACAGGGTTTGCTGTGCAACTAGCCAGCACGCATACCTACATGCATACTTGCCAACCATACCGGTGTTCCCGGTATTATACTGGGAAACTACGGTCACTACCGGCATACTGGGGCTTTTGGACTTTGATCGAAAACTACCGGTATTGGCACTGAATCATGAGTGTTCAAAAAAAGGTTGTTATGTGGTGTGACAAGGGCACAAAACAGAGAAAACGGCCGAAATTTGCGAAAACCAGGAAAATAAGGGAAAGGATAGAAAATTAAGGGAAACTGGATGTGTAACTAAGGGATTTGCTTTTGGCTGGGTTGGTAAGTATGCACATGTACGTGTCTCACCTGGTAGTTGACATCCAGTCTCATGTTGTAGTCCCAAACACGCAGCTGCCTATCACCTGCCGTCACCAACAGCTGTGCATTGTGGAACACCGCTAGTGCAGAGCAGCTACCCTGGTGCAGACTGGACATCTAAAGCAAGACAACAAGTATAGCACGTGTGAGATGAACACTCCAGTAACATGGGAAGTGAACTCAACTCAGATTTAGTTCGAAGGCTAAAATATTCCACTAGGCTAGCCACCAATAATAATCTTATCTCCCTTCCCCTTGCATGATACTTATTCCATGCTAGCCCTTTACTTACATGTACCACAACAAAGGCGTACTACAGTGCATTTCAAAACTATAGACGTGTAGGGTTTTTGAAATATTTCAAATTTGGCTGGAACTTTTTGAGAATAGTTTTCGGAATATTGCTCAGGATCGCTCCACAATTACTCTCATAATTATAGTTTCTAAAGTATTGGATAACAGACGCCCAATTTGGAAAAATTTATGCACAAAGTGATCACAGATTTTATGTGGTATAGATGCTGGCATAACGGTTTTTGCCTAGGTACGCGTCTATAGTTTTGAAATGGACTGTAGTGCATTCTGAATTCTGGCATAGTTATCACTGTGTCTGTGTGAGGAACTATACCCAGCTTTACATTCAATCTGAATGACGTAAGGACAATATCTTGCCATTTATACATCAGCAGGGACTTGGGAGTCCTCTTGCTATTCCCTCGTCCTGTCACTAACCTCGCTGAGGAGTTGTCCAGTACTGGCTGACAGCCGTAGCAATCTCTTCCTGGTTGTATAGACCAGCAGATGACCAGTGCAATGTGCAGCGTACATCACATAGACAGCTGAATCCAGTGCATCAGCAGGACGAGATCCAGCCGTTATACTGCTGATGTCAACATGCATCACCTACACAGGAGAGAGGTAGGGAAGGAGAGAGAGAGAGAGGGAGAGAGAGAGAGAGAGAGAGAGAGAGAGAGAGATAGAGAGAGATAGATAGATAGATAGAGAGAGAGAGATAGAGAGAGAGAGATAGATAGAGAGAGAGAGAGAGAGAGAGAGAGAGAGAGAGAGAGAGAGAGAGAGAGAGAGAGAGAGAGAGAGAGAGAGAGAGAGAGAGAGAGAGAGAGAGAGAGAGAGAGAGAGAGAGAGAGAGAGAGAGAGAGAGAGAGAGAGAGAGAAGACAGACAGAGACAGAGAGCATTGGTGCCAGAACGACCCATGACTTCTGATACACACATTATCCTATTTATCATAGCAGTAGAATCTGATTGTTGATGTTCTGAACATTATCCATAGACTCAGGCAAAAGGAACTGATAAAGTTTGTTAAGCATGACCAATGATTACCTCATCTAGAGTTAGAGCGTCCACCGTTGTCACTATGTGCACCGAAGGTCCCACAAAAGCAACGTGTCTTCCATCTCCACTGAGCGATAGAGCTTCCCAGGCAACATCGCCACCGACGGGGCTGCTGTTGCTGCTGGTGGTGGTTTCGGCTGGCAGCTTAGCAGTGGTATTTCCAAGTACTCTTAGTACTTTCAGCGTTTGAAGTTCACAGTCCAGCAATGCTAGAGTTCCATCTTGGTGTGACACTATCAAGCGACGACCACTCGGCACAAACACCACCCCGGTGACTGGAGAAGAGTTACATCTGGACATCAGGAATGACAAGGTAGTACACATATGGTTTACAACTTCTTTTTTCTTGACCAAATATGTTTTAGGACGACATAAGAAGAGGTGCATCAAGATTATGGGTTTAAATGCCTAGACTAACGATAAGACTAGGTGCATTGAAGCAATATTGGACAACATGAAACATGGTAGGAGAAATTTAGGATTACAATACTTTCATTTAGGGAATGGCTGGTAATATTACATCACCGGTATCATGTAAAAATGTGACAAACATTGTAACATGCCAGCACTATGAAGCATTCGCTCAAAGATATAATTATTACACTGGGGCCATTGCAACAGAGTGCCACGTCATATTCAATAGTCAACAACATGCACATCTAGACATACACCGCAATGCGTGCAGCACTCTGATACCTGTGCTCGGCCACTACCGACGTAGCCTTGGTGTGGTAGAGTCTCAGAAAGCCAGATCGATAACCAACAGCAATGCACTGGTGTCTCGGGTGGAATGCCACCTTCAAGGGCATATCCATAGGTGCTAGGAACGTGTAAAGCTGGGAGCAAAGCAGTATCATAGAAAATAAACTTGTTTGATAAACATCTACAGTAAAATTGACTTCTTTTTAAGCACACCACAACCACCTCCATGGTCAAACGCACTGGAAAAAGTATTCTTGAACTCCTGATCTTTGCCACTGGAGGTTCATCAGAAAGTAGAATACTAGTAAGAGCATTTTTAAAGAGGTTGCATAAAATTAGTCACTGAAACACGACGTGTACAAAGGCAGTGAGAATTCAGTAGAACTGCAACACAACCAGAATTATTTTTTGAGAACTGTGTGGATTTCAGATTTTTTCTCTTTTCTGTCATAGCAAGAATCCTACCTGCTGCAGTGATCTGGCGTCCCAGACACACACAACGCCATCCCGTGATCCAGTGGCAAGCCACTTTCCATCCAGACTCAACGCAGCGCTCTGTATCGAGTCGGTGTTGGCTCTCGTCAGAGTCTTGTAGGTTCTGCTCTCCACATTGATAATACCCAGCTGACACTGGTGTACACAAAGGAGAAATAATACATTGTGGGGATAGGAAGGGAGAGAATAGAGCTTAGCCTAGAGGTACAAAAATTGAAGGAAAGCCACACTAATATCACAGCATTATTTGTTTTAGCTATGGTCACACTTTATTCGATCATTGCCTGCTCTCTCTCTCCTCTCTCTCTCTCTCTCTCTCTCTCTCTCTCTCTCTCTCTCTCTCTCTCTCTCTCTCTCTCTCCCTCCCTCTCTCTCACTCTCTCTGTCTCTCTCTCTATCTCCATCTCCATCTCCATCTCTCTCTATTTCAGGTTAACAGGACACCATTGCGATAAGCATCACATCACTGCATGCATATGCATATCACTTACTTAATAGCCTTCACAAATCACCCAGGATGAGTTCAAGCATGTTGCTAAACTCAACAGACTTCAATGCCAGGCAATGCAACATACATGAATTTACTCACTCCTGTTGTTCCACACACCACTTTCAGGCCATCGGCAGAGATTGACAAGGCCGACACAGATGCTTCATGTTCTGTGGCACAGACAGCACAAGTAGCAGCAGCAGCAGCAGCAAAACACAGACTATTACACAACAAGTCAGGTGATCAGGAGTGTTGTACTCTTCCTGCCCAAGATACATAGAATTACCTGTTTGCACTCCAATTCAACGTACATGTATGGTATATCATCTTTGTAATTTTGCAAGACATTCCACCTGACAGAAATGGACTCCAAGACTAGTGGAAAAACTGTTTACATTCGTCAACAAAAGGGCTTATGCAGTTCCTATGAACGTATGTTACACCATGGCTCTCTTCTGCCAAGTAGCCAACGTATTCATATCTTAAAAGCAGTGACACAGTACGAGTGGTAGCACCAGTGACGATACCTGAGGAAATGGATGCTGTTCCCTACACGTAGCACCAGTGACGATACCTGAGGAAATGGATGCTGTTCCCTACACGGGATACGATACCTGAGGAAATGGATGCTGTTCCCTACACGTAGCACCAGTGACGATACCTGAGGAAATGGATGCTGTTCCCTACACGTAGCACCAGTGACGATACCTGAGGAAATGGATGCTGTTCCCTACACGTAGCACCAGTGACGATACCTGAGAAAATGGATGCTGTTCCCTACACGTAGCACCAGTGACGATACCTGAGGAAATGGATGCTGTTCCCTACACGTAGCACCAGTGACGATACCTGAGGAAATGGATGCTGTTCCCTACACGTAGCAACAGTGACGATACCTGAGGAAATGGATGCTGTTCCCTACACGTAGCACCAGTGACGATACCTGAGGAAATGGATGCTGCTCCCTACACGTAGCACCAGTGACGATACCTGAGGAAACGGATGCTGCTCCCTACACGTAGCACCAGTGACGATACCTGAGGAAATGAATGCTGTTCCCTACACGTAGCACCAGTGACGATACCTGAGGAAATGGATGCTGTTCCCTACACGTAGCACCAGTGACGATACCTGAGGAAATGGATGCTGTTCCCTACACGTAGCACCAGTGACGATACGTGAGGAAATGGATGCTGCTCCCTACACGTAGCACCAGTGACGATACCTGAGGAAATGGATGCTGTTCCCTACACGTAGCACCAGTGACGATACCTGAGGAAATGGATGCTGTTCCCTACACGTAGCACCAGTGACGATACCTGAGGAAATGGATGCTGTTCCCTACACGTAGCACCAGTGACGATACCTGAGGAAATGGATGCTGTTCCCTACACGGGATACGATACCTGAGGAAATGGATGCTGTTCCCTACACGTAGCACCAGTGACGATACCTGAGGAAATGGATGCTGTTCCCTACACGTAGCACCAGTGACGATACCTGAGGAAATGGATGCTGTTCCCTACACGTAGCACCAGTGACGATACCTGAGGAAATGGATGCTGTTCCCTACACGTAGCACCAGTGACGATACCTGAGGAAATGGATGCTGTTCCCTACACGTAGCACCAGTGACGATACCTGAGGAAATGGATGCTGTTCCCTACACGTAGCACCAGTGACGATACCTGAGGAAATGGATGCTGTTCCCTACACGTAGCACCAGTGACGATACCTGAGGAAATGGATGCTGTTCCCTACACGGGATACGATACCTGAGGAAATGGATGCTGTTCCCTACACGTAGCACCAGTGACGATACCTGAGGAAATGGATGCTGTTCCCTACACGTAGCACCAGTGACGATACCTGAGGAAATGGATGCTGTTCCCTACACGTAGCACCAGTGACGATACCTGAGGAAATGGATGCTGTTCCCTACACGGGATACGATACCTGAGGAAATGGATGCTGTTCCCTACACGTAGCACCAGTGACGATACCTGAGGAAATGGATGCTGTTCCCTACACGTAGCACCAGTGACGATACCTGAGGAAATGGATGCTGTTCCCTACACGTAGCACCAGTGACGATACCTGAGGAAATGGATGCTGTTCCCTACACGTAGCACCAGTGACGATACCTGAGGAAATGGATGCTGTTCCCTACACGTAGCACCAGTGACGATACCTGAGGAAATGGATGCTGTTCCCTACACGGGATACGATACCTGAGGAAATGGATGCTGTTCCCTACACGTAGCACCAGTGACGATACCTGAGGAAATGGATGCTGTTCCCTACACGTAGCACCAGTGACGATACCTGAGGAAATGGATGCTGTTCCCTACACGTAGCACCAGTGACGATACCTGAGGAAATGGATGCTGTTCCCTACACGTAGCACCAGTGACGATACCTGAGGAAATGGGTGCTGTTCCCTACACGTAGCACCAGTGACGATACCTGAGGAAATGGATGCTGTTCCCTACACGGGATCTCATACTTTACCACTCAGCACAATGTAAGAAATATTATACAAACTTACCTGCCTCCAAGAAGACATGAGAGAAGTCCAGCGGCCATAGCCGAAGAAATCCATCAGCCGAGCCTGTGGCGGCAAAGGCTTGATTGACACAGATGGAGAGAATTCCAGAGTTGGGACCCGCCGCCGCTGGTCCTGTCGCAGGTGACGACACTTGGAAAACGCGTTCGACTTTCAACTGACGATAGTTGATCTGCAGGACTAATCCGGTACTGGTGCAGGCAAATCTGTGCAAGCACAAACCGAAATCACACCAAACCACACAACACTGTGATTTTTCAGTATTTATACCAAATAACAATTTTACGGAAGGGCTTAGCTTTTGCCAAAGAGTTTAGTGTCACGATCCTCTTGTAGTACAATGGAGGATATGCCGTTATAGGAGGGAGAAGGTAGCAACAGCAGGAATGCATGAGTTCACATAGCTTTTGATTCCTTTGAGTGGGACGAGTATCCCGTGTTTTGAAGAGGTGCGTTGTCAAACAGTTAAACAAAAAGATCTGGTAGCCAAGAAAACTGTACACCAGAATGATTTCAGGATCGCAGCTAATACCAGACCAGCAGTATTCACACTGGCGCTTGTGTCTCTAGCTATACGGAGACTGGACGGAATAAGGAACATGGTGTTACGTATCCTTCAAAGCCAGTTCCCAAATGTATCAATATACATAAATCTTCCAGCTACAGCCATCAAAGCAGTGTGACACAGGTCTCAACACAACATGGAATAATGTCTCTACCATGGTATGCGAGATGTGGTACGGCTTCGGACAAATTACATTTTCTGCTGGCAGGGATCATCAAGGCATCGTCCCGTTACGCCTTCAAACTCAACATCATTCACCACGACGCCGTGGTGTGAACCGAGGTTTACAGGTGCCGAGCGAAGCTCTCCGTTACGTACTCGCCAGAACCGAATGTTTTCACGGCCACAAGATACCATTCTGTGCGGAATGACAAGCACCAGAAACAACGTAAAAGGTAGACATGACAAGCTTGCGGGAGTCCTCATGTTGGCACACATGCTTTCAAAGACAGAGGTAGCAAAATTACTCATAAAGTGGAGTTTGACTTCCAGTATACAAGCACTTTGCAGCCATTCACCAATGAAGAAAGGAAAGGATGAAAATTCTGTCACCAGCAGTAGACCTCTCTTTTCCCTCTGCAAAGGCAATATTCAAAGTATGATTCGATCTAGGTAGAATCTCCACAGGAAGTATCATACTCATCTATTGCATAGTATGAATTTTTCTTCAGCCTACAGGTCAAGGAATACCTCACCTGGTGTCGTCAAACGCGGCGATCTTCATGCGCCGTATGTCAAAGTCCGTGCTTGTCTGAGCAATCACTTCGGTCCGTCCATCCACACTGGCTTGTTCCGTGTTCCACACCACTACCATCTGCACGGAAAACAAGCCACAAGCAGAATGGTATTGGGCAAACACCAGTACAAGTCTGTTGTGTTCTAACTTTGTGATTTTCTCCCCAAAGTCACATGAAGGTACCGTTAAGCCATAATCCCAGTCTCTTGTTCCCAGTGAACTTATAGTACCTTCTCTCACACTTGTTGCATTCTTCTTTCTACTATTCTGCCAAATTCACTGGTCCCTCAAACCACCAGTGTTGCACTTGAATGCACAGCTGAAGTTCTTGGATCGTCCCCCTGAGACCTTGCAGCCACCACAAGCTCAAATCATTTACGACCTAGGACAGGATGGGGAGCCGGATATTCGGATACGATGCCTGAGAGTGAGGAAGCAAAATAGCTATCATGGCACCTGGTGACAACGCAGAGAGTCAGTAAAACAGATACAATGCAGCTACTCACCTGTTTATGATGTGCATCTCTCCCGACACCACACAGCATGCCACCGTTGTAGGACATGCTAAGCGAGTGTAAGCCGCAGTGGTGGGCCTTGAACACAGCTTTGCACTGCTGGCTGGCTAGGTCCCACAATCGTACAGCAGGCATTGGACCCTGTTGGCCGGTAGCCAATATGGTTGTAGCGTAATTGATGGCCATGCACGATATCTGAATATCATAACAACACAAACGCAACCCAGAATCAAAGATAATTGGATAGAAAAACTAACGTTAAACGAGGCGGAGTGGGGGGGGGGGATTAGGGTCATATAGTTGACGATGTTTGACTGGCTGTGTGGCTAACAAGTGTATTTTGTGGTACAGTCAGACCTAACATAACCGCACATATCCGTTTCCACAAAAAAAACATCTGGATAGGCGAGGGAACCGGATAATCGAACACACATACTCAGTGTGTGCATGACATATGCTGTAAATCGGTAACCAACAATTTTCTTCCGGATGGCGAGGGATCCGGGTAAAAAGAGGACCGGAAATGCGAGGTCTGACTGTAGTCGCTTTTTATAATACTAATGACGTCGCCTGGGGTTATTCTATTATGAAAGGGATACTGAATACTCCAGCAGATTGAGCTCTCCGCATCCGTAGGAACGCCATCACCCTCAAGGATCAAAGGCCCAGATGCAGCTCCTAAAGCGACATGTGCTGCAAAAAGAGTTCGGCATTCATTCTTATCACGTTAGCCGAAACTTGGAATAGGGCTAACCGAAAACACTTCCTTCCATGCATACATGCACACACGTAGTGCAATCTCACACAACCTTTAACTAACCTTGTCCGAATGTCCAACGAGATGATACTGCTGTTGCGTGCTGATATCCAAGACGACAACTACCGCATGACACGGGTAGTATACATGTACACCATCTTTACTCCAACACACCTATGCAGTAGAAAGAGGAGAACACAGAAAAAATGTAGAGCACACTGATATGCCTATGGTTGCAGAATAGAAGGAGTTTGACACTGCAAGTTGTGTTAGGTATGAAAGTCATTGTGAGCAACCCTAGACCCATTGTACAATGTTTAACATACCGATAACACTGTGACATACGACACATGCTACACAGCCAAACATAAATCCAGGGGAATTGAGTTGTGGCCTCCCCTTCCTGATACAGAAGTGCAACCACAATCAAATCCAAATGCATCTCATAAAATGAGTCGATACTTGTCTCTTCAGATTGGCAGTACCTCTTGATTTGTTCCTCCGCCAAAGCCAACAACTTTCTTCAAGTGAAGAATGGGATCTGGTTCCAAACACTGAAGCAACAGCAGCACAAAAAAACAGGCGCACATCATTCGAAGAGCTACTGAGATCAATACGTAAACCAGTATTCGGTATTGACCCCAAAGGGACTCCGTCAGGCGCGACCCGGGATAATTCAGCACCAGATGTAGCGGCTAATACTGGGGATGAAGGAGATTCAACATGCTGGGTGGTGATTCAAACTACTGGTACAAGTCCTGAACACCCAGTCAGCTGCGTCCATGCTATTACTATGCCATTGTCATTCTCCAGTTCAAATAACAAAATATCTATTGCAAAGCATAGGCCAGTGTTAGGAGGCCCCAGGAATCAATTCCTGACCTGGCTTTGCTCAGGCAATTGTAGACTCGTGTTGCAATGCTCACTTGCATTTGAAAATGTTCTCAAAATAAATTATCTACCCCTTTACCTCACCATGGCTACATTCTTTCGAGAAATCTCTCATGTGAGCTGTGAAAATGATTTACCCGGGGGGGGGGGGGGGGGGGGGAGGGGGGGGGGGGGATTTTATTCAGTGACAGTGGAGCTCTGCAAGGCAATGGCAACCAAGACCATTGGATAGCAAACTAATAGTCTCTTAGGTTCGTTAATGTACTTTCTCATCCATGGTAAAATGTACTTTCTCATCCATGGCAAAATGGTGGTATTGGCATACCTTCAGGGCCGTTGGCTGTTTTCGGGCAGGAACTTCATCATGACCTGTTGTCTCCTACAAAACGTATCCGGAGCATGTCAGAAACACAGATGCAGAGATAGACAATACACAGGAAAGACATGAGCTGGAATGCGAGGACATCCTCATAGAAATGGCCGGTATCATTTCATGAACGTAAAACTGGCCAGAAAGACAGGTAATAGCTAACTCACCAAACAGTCACATTATACTTCTAATGACACTCACTTACATCCAAATCCAAGAAAACCATACACTTCTATCCTGTTGGATGAGGCGAAGTTAGCCAGTCCTATACAATCATGATTGTGATGATTGTGAGCTTCATGGCCTGTACCGGGATGGTAGGACAATGTTACTATGCCTACCTTGGCTTGCTTTGACTCGTGTCTATGAACTGTTACATGAGGCTTGGCTCCATCCTCTGCAAACACTCTTACATCGGCGGTAGTTGAAACTCCCACTGGCCTTGTGCCTCTGGCGTCCATAATGTCGAGCACTTCCTCGGGCTGCATAATCGACATGACAGGAAATGGTAACGAAGTTGCCATAATAACACGATTTCAACAACAGACTTCACAAGATAACTGTCATATATGCTAATAACTCCCCAGGTCAGCGGAACTCCCTAAACCTTATCACCACTGCCAAAATTTATGTTGCGCATGCTTCCCTAGCTGCAGCTCGTGTTTGGCATTTTAAAGTGGTCTTGTAAAAAATATATAAATAAAACTAACATTAGTGCCAATGAGTGGCTTGAACAGTCAAAACTATGACCTTAGATATTAAACTGTCTGTACAGTACTACATGTACTAGATAGTGTTGTTGTGTCCTTAGAATGCACAGACAATGCAGGTGGCTGGTAGTGATGTAAAGCTCCTATAATCCAAACTCCCTAGATCTGAGCTTTCCACTATACCCTGCACCTTTAAACCCCGCTAGAGTCATAGAAAGCGTAAAAACGAAAACGACACTTGAAAATTACCGCTTGAAATTATTGTGCTCGCGTGCAATAAGAACCGCGTGTGTGTGTTCTGAGTTGCAGGTAACTGCCAGGTCCAAACACGCCTGGATAATTGGGAGTTCAAGGATACTCTTATTTTTTGCAAGTGTGTTGAAGCAAAACCAGCAAGATGCCGAGCCCATCGCTCGTTGCATATGGTAACCAGCTTGATTAATAACAGACACAATGTAGTACGGAGCTAGCATGTGGATAGAAACAACCACAAACATTCGCGGACCTGCTCACAAGACACCCATAACCTACCAGTATTGATTTCAGCTTGCCGGGTTGTGGCTGCACTGCAGGTGTATCTAGAACATCAGCACACATATATGTACAGTATGCATTTAGTCAACCAGAAAATTAAACGTGTGAACCTGATAAAGGCATGAAGTTGGCAACTTCTAAGTTCTGATAAAGGCAATTAGCCGAACCATTGTAATATTGTGAGATGAGTTGAATTATTGCAGTGTTAATGGAAGTGAGCGTGTAGGCTCTACTCATAACTGTTTATGAAACTGCAGTATGCCTCCCCGCTTTTACTTAGAAAATTAAAAACTTTTTCTAATTGTCCGCAAGCTCCAAAGCAGCCATTTACACATTTAGGAAAATTCACTTCTCAACTCCAAACTCCAACAACGGTCTCTTCACTGCGATTCAATTTCAAATTTACATTACACCAAATTTTCGGGCCTGGCCCATCATGAGGGTAATGAAAGCAAGTAACGTTAGTTACAATTTAGAAGAATATAAAGTCAAACACAATACGAGCACAGTGGTAGAACGAGCACAGTGGCAGCAAGAAATATTCTGCTGACAGATGAGCTCAAAGGGACCAAACAGCTGTATAGAGGCGTAAGTGAAAAGAATGTTCTGTCAGCGGAAGTGTCATTGCGGTGCTGGTGCGTTTATGCTTCGTGCATTGGTTTGGAGCGCATGGTGGTGGCAGGTGGAGCATGTAGTAATTTCCTAGTAAAGACACAAACATTTCTAATACAAATCTATACACCACACACATCCATAGAGCACACCTCATACTTGGACAGACGGCATGATTGCATGGGAGTTCCCTGGACACAATGCAAGGTTTACTATATTCACCAAGGTTGGTTAACACCCACATCTCCCGTACTGGCTGATTTTCTTTTCATGCTATGAGGTGTTGTCTATAATAATAATAATAATAATAATAATAATAAAAGTAGAAAGGAAAAGGACATATGGAAACGAGTTAAGAGTAACTCTCCACCACTGTAACTAGATACTATATACAGTCAGAAAGTGCAACATGTAACATATGTCCTTTTCCTTTCTACTTTTATTATTGGCTCAATACCCGAGTTTCAAATAATAATAATAATAATAATAATAATAATATCGCCGACACCGATGTCCACATCACCACTGAGGGCCGCCCCTACCTGGGTGCTCCTCTGGGCTCGGAAGCCTTCAAGACAACATTTTGCAATGCTCGAGTGGAGGCTTGGGCATCTGAGATGCGTGAGCTGGCGAACGTGGCCGAGGCCGAGCCCCAAGCCGTGTATGCCGCACTGGTCTTTGGGTACCGTCACCGCTGGACATTCCTGATGCGCGTGTCGAGCTGTGCACCAGACGTCTTCGAGCCTCTCGAGTCCTCTCTTCGCTCCGTCTTGTTGCCAGCTCTATTGGGTGTGCCAGTCGTCCCTGCCCCTCTACGCAGCCTTCTTGCTCTGCCTGTGCGTCATGGTGGCCTTGCAGTGCTCAATCCAGTTGAGGCTGCCCCGCAACAGCGGACAGCATCTCTGTCCATCACGAGCAGTCTCCAGCAACTTATCGCGGACCAGTCCTCCCTCTACAGCGTAGACCCAGCAGCCATTTGCGCCGCCAAGGCTGCTGCCAAGCAAGCCCAGTCTGTGACAACCAAGACCATCCTGCAGACAGCTGGTCCAGAGGCCCTACCACCAATGCTTCTGGAGCACCTCCAGGCCAAGGGAACAGGTGCATGGCTGACCTGTCTTCCTGTTCGCGAGCATGGATACTCCCTCGACCGGCGGTCCTTCGTTGATGCCCTATGCATTCGGTATGGCCTCACCATCCACGGTTCACCTACCGAGTGTCCATGCGGCCGGCCGTTCACCATCGACCACGCAATGATCTGCAAGTTGGGCGGCTATCCCATCCACCGGCACAACCATGTCCGCAACTACCTGGGCCAACTTCTTTCTCAAGTGTCTGAGGATGTGCAGCTGGAGCCACCGCTGCAACCTCTACCGACGGTCCGCACGTTTGACCATGGTCCTGCCCTGCTCACTGCGGACGACGCCAGACCGGACATCAAGGCCAGGGGGTTTTGGTCGGTACAGACTGATGCATTTTTTGATGTAAGGGTGTTCTATCCCAACGCACAGTCGTACCGATCTCGCCCGCTGGCTGAGGTGTTCCAATGGCACGAGCGTCAGAAGCAGTCGGCATACGGTGCCCGGATCCGGGAAGTTGAGCACGCGTCGTTCACCCCGATCGTCCTGTCTTCTGCTGGTGCCCTGGCGAAGGAGGCCACCCGGTTCCTGAAGCTGCTCGGAACGAAGCTCTCCACCAAGTTCTCGCAGCCTTATGCTCTCGTGATGGGAAAGCTGCGGACAGACCTGGCTTTCAGCCTTGTCCGCGACTCCGTCCTGATGGTTCGTGGGAGTCGCCGTGCATTCCGTGCACCTGGTCTGGCGGCGGATGTGGATGCTGTTTCTGTGGAGGCCCGCATTCCCGCCACTACGTGACGCTAAGTCCTCCTGGGGTTTGCCGCTCTCCGGTCCTCTTTCATCCCGTTCTCCCCTCTTTTTTGGGGATTCTTTGTACTTCGTCTTTCTTGTTTTTCTTGTTCCTTTGTTTTTTGTAGGACAGATTTTTGGTGTACTGGTTTCGGTTGTTGTTGTGTCTGACTCTATTCCCAATATCTAATTCTGTGGTTGGTTTTCCAACTCATTGGGTTGTAGTTTCCATCATGAGTTTGATTCCATCGTGAGTTTGATTCCATCGTGAGTTTTGATTCTATTTGCTATTTTTCGTTCCATTTTTGAGCTCATATTTTATTTTCCTGATTTCTTCTCCAGTGTATGTTGTATTGCATTTTAATACATTGTGTTAATTTTTGCCCGTAAAAGAGGCTTGCACTTCATAAAAAATAAAATAAAATAAAAATAAAAGCCAGTTAAAAATAAAAATAATAATAATAATTATAATAATCTTCACTAGTTTGAGGGAAAGAGACAAACGGGAAAAGTCTGAAGAAAAAATTGACCGTCACCACCAGGACTCGAACCAGGAACCCTCGCTTGTAGCTTGCGATGCTCTAACCACTGAGCTATGGTGTAGTCGTCATCCCAGCAGAGACTGTTCAACATTCTCTTCAGACTCAGTGGCTTCAGACTTCAGACTTCAGACTTCGTAACTTACACTTCCTGTGAATCCACACAGGCGGGTGGGACGCAGCCCTCACTGTACCCACACACAATAATAATAATAATAAGATTTAAGTCCCGGACGTACCTTGGATCAAGTCCGGTATTCTCACGTAGTCGTAGTGCTTGTTCCACGTATCACCACTCTTCAAGAAGAAGGACATCTCTCTTGGCAGTGGCATGCGTTCACCCGCCTGCCGCAGCTTCCTAGATACACTGTGAGATCTGGGAAGGAGAAAGGGAAAGCGAAAAATAAATCCAGTGAGGCTCATAAACACCGATTATAAGGGCTTTTATCATGAAAGTCACAACCACACCCAAAACTACACAGAGAATGCTGACACATAAATTATTGCGATCGGTTTGGGCAAGTTTGTCTGAGCTCTGCTGATGAAATCTAGCAATGTTGAAACAGCTCGCTGCCCCTAGGCGGAGCAGAATATACTGATAGGTGATCTAATTTATAAATTATAGATAACAAGGTTTCAATACAATGACGAGACTGAGCTGCGGGCAGTGAATTGAACCCACACCCATTGCCTGCCTGACACAATATAAACACTGATCTAGTGGACCTACTTCAGCGCCAGATGGTCATAGTCAAAGTCGCTGCTGAAGAAGTTCTTCACCAGCTGATTGGCACAGATGCGTATGGACTTGACATGGCTGAACTGCCTGTTCAAATAGGTCTGCAACAGCTGCTGGCAGTCCACGCACATCAACGTCCAGCGTGTGGGGTTTGCTGGTGCTGTGCAGTTCAAGCAAAGCAGACAAAGACAGCACAACCAAAGGCAGACCATGGTATAATGTGCTCTTGACTACTCAAACATACTCAGTCGAAAGGATTTACATACTTATTACTTCAGTTCTATTCCATCAGGTGTGCAAGAATTGACTCGGATGGAGAGCCAAGCTAGGATAAATTTATAGTAAAGTAAAAAAGGACCACAAAACTATAATTACAGTTCTACAGTTAGTTGTCGAACGTCAGTACCGTCGGACAGTGTCGCGCAATGTTATCGGAGCTGATTGTTTAATAACTGGTGGTGTTAGTGGACATTATTGCGGAACTAGTAGTTTCTTGGTCCTTTTTTTACTTTTCTATAAAGTTATATTTCATAGGTGAGGTTTTCGGTGCCTTTAAGTCAAGGACATTAGAA